CAACAACAACAACAACAACAACAACAACAACAACAACAACAACAACAGCAACAGCAACAGCAACAGCAACAGCAACAGCAACAGCAACAGCAACAACAGCAGCAACAGCAGCAACAGCAACAGCAACAACAACGACAACAACAACCGCAACCTCAACAACCACAACAACAACAACAGCAACAACGACGACAACAACAACGACGACAACAACAACAACAACCACAACAACCACAACAACAACCACAACCACCACAATAACCACAACCACCACAACCACAACAACAACAACAACAACAACCACGACAACAACAACAGCAACAACAACAACAACAACTACTACAACCACAACTACAACCACACTCCCCTTTGCTTGGGCCCCTGGCCGGCTGTCGGGCATAAGCCCTTAAATATAAGATATTGGAAGGCACAGGGACAGAGCAATCCTCTGGCATAACTTAGAGATCCCAAAGCAATGAATGCCTTTGAATCCGGGGATTTCCCGTGGAGCTGATCTCTTTGTCTAGCTTGTTGTCATGTTTCCCAGGTGAGGATAGAGCCTGGAATCAGCCAAATGGTAAGCAAGCAGGCCAGGGCTTTCGATGGCAATATGCATGCCACTTGCCTAAGAGTACAATGAAAAAGGAAAACAAAACCTCTCGTTGGAGGCAGCAAGTTCTCTTAATCTCATCTTCAGAGTCACTGCACCAAAACAGAAAAACAGAGTTGACGCAATGGACAGGCAAATGTGGGGGAACTCTTTGGCTAAGGTGCACAGTGAACGGCAGGGACGTGTCTTGCTTTAACAGCAGCTCTGCCACCACAGAGCCCAAGCCAGCCATGAGGACTTTGAGCGCAACCCACATCAGCCTTCGAGCTTTAGAGAAAGAAACACTGTGGTTTTAAGTCCGTTGAGGTGAGGTGGCTGACACATGCTTAGCTAAGAGCCACCAAGCGATCCGGAAGCTACTAGGTACCCGATACAGGAAAGCTCACGCTTCAAGGAAGCCCTTGCCGCTGACAGCGCGGGGAACTTCCTTGAAGAAGCGCTCGCACAATTCATGTGGTTCCTAGATTCTTCTGGCCAGCATCATCGTTTAATTCTGAACGGTTCTGTATTCCTTCTCTCTAAGGCTATTGCTGTCGAGCAGCCCAATTCCATCAAACATGTGATCCAAGTCTATCTCGGAGATACGGTAGGCAAGAATGCCAAGTGTTATTATGCCTGAGTGTCAATCAAAAAAACTAAAGCAAGCACCAATGGCTTCCGAATGCACATATGCTGCTGGGTTGCAAATATGAACCCATGTTAGAACTGGCAGCGGCTGCCGGAACCTGACACGAAGCACATTGGGCCACTGCTAAATGAATCAAGTGGAACATCTGAACAACAACACCTGAAAAGACTAGTCCACGGTGCCTTCGGAGCAAAAACTACTGAGCGATTTCAAAACTGCCATTCTGCCAGCAAAGCCGAAGTTGAAACAAGGGACAGGATTCTCCACATGATCGGAACGATGACCACACCTGACCTTGTCAAAGTCAGGCCAAGCTGGGCCCTTGACCAGTCCGGTCGTGCAAGTATCTTATCTCACTGCATCTGCTAGGCTACTGCTTGGCTACTTGAGGGTCATTCCACATGTTCTATCCTGCTGGGTGTCAGAGCCTGTTGGCAAAAGCGAGATACTGTCTCTTTGCAAAAGCTACCGTCTTGCAAAGAAGCATGTCATATCCTTTTGAAACACTTAGGTTCTTTAAGAATGTGTGGCGTCTGTGTAAATTGCCAAGGTAGAGTCATGAAACCTGCCATCTTATCACCAAGGCACTGTGCATAGAGCGCATAGCCTAAGTGAGGATCAGTGGGGACAGGCCCGTCTTTCTTCGTTCTCCTCGTCTCCTCTTTGTCCTTTCTTAAGTCATCTCTCCTTGCTCCATGTTCCAGGTTTTTCTTGTTCTTGTTCTTGCTGAAAGTATATACTCATCTTGTTGTCAGTCTGTTGCCCTTCTCACGGTTCACTGAAATTTTGGAGATCCTGCCTTTCCATTCTGCATTTTGCAAACTCAGCGCTTCAAACTCTGTGAAAATAGTTACTAGCTACTAGTTACTTGCTACAGTTTCCGAAGCAACCAAAAAGCTGATTGCAAAATTTGCAGACTGCAGCCACACGTTCAAGTTAATACTAACGAGACCTAAGCCTATCATAGTCTCGTTGAATCTTTGCTACCTGACACAAATATCCGCCTTTTCTTGGCCCAAGAAATAGAGGAAACATGTCAACCATCAACCTTTATCGTGGCTCTCGAGCGTCAAAGGCTTTGCAATCACTGTCACTCTAATGTATAGTCCTTCCAAATGGTTTTGCTGAAAAATATCTTTGACAGGAAACTGCCAGGGGAGAGCGCATCCTGCGCGAGGAAGCTGAACACGGCACCACATCCAAACATGGCACCTGCCAAAGGCTGAACTGAATTGTTTCAGTTCCTGCGCCCCAACCCCCCGGCGCCACGAAATCTGCACTTCATCTCCAAAACCCGCGCCTGCCACGAAATCAACATTTTAGTGTGAACTCCCTGCGGCAAAAAACCTGCTAACCAACCAACCAACAGCCACCTGCCAGCGGCGCCAGCAGCAACCAACCAACTGACCACAACGTAGCATCCCTTTTGTGGGCCATCCGAGGGTAAAATTTAGAATAGGAAGAAGCCTATTGCAACGTGGCATGCCTTTTGTGGGCCACACGAAGATACAGTTTAGAGTTTAGAGTAGGAAAAAGCCATTGCAACGTAGCATTCCTTTCGTGGGCAATTCAAAGGTAAAATTTCCAAAAGGAAGAAGCCATTGCCACGTAGCATGCCTTTTTTGGGGGCCACCCGAGGGTAAAATTTAGAGCAGGAAGGAGCCATTACAACGAAGCATTGTCTTTTTTTTGAGCCACCCGAAGGTAAATTTTAGAGTAGGAAGGAGCCATTACAACGATTTACAACGTAGCATTCCTTTGATGGGCCATTCGAAAGTAAAATTTAGAAAAGAAAGAAGCCATTGCAACGTATGTGGGCCATCCGAGGGAAACATTTAGAATGGGAAGAAGCCTATTGCAACGTGGCATGCCTTTTGTGGGCCACACGAAGATGCAGTTTAGAGTAGGAAAAAGCCATTGCAACGTAGCATTCCTTTCGTGGGCAATTCAAAGGTAAAATCTAGAAAAGGAAGAAGCCATTGCAACGTAGCATGCCTTTTCTGGGCCACCCGAGGGCAAAATTTAGAGCAGGAAGGAGCCATTACAACGAAGCATTTCTTTTTGTGAGCCACCCGACGGTAAATTTTAGAGTAGGAAGGAGCCATTACAACGATTTACAACGTAGCATTCCTTTGATGGGCCATTCGAAAGAAAAATTTGGAAAAGGAAGAAGCCATGGCAACGTAGCATGCCTTTTGTGGGCCACCCGAGGGTAAAATTTTCAGCAGGAAGGAGCCATTATATTACAACGTAGCATTCCTGTTGTAGGCCATTCGAGGGTGAAATTTAGAATAGGAAGGAGCCATTACAACGCAGCATTAGTTCGAATTCGAATTCGAATCGATAACAATTTTTACACCCCGGGGGGGAACCAGTTCGAGTTCGAGATCGAATTCGAATTCGAACCGACGACAGCGATTTTGGAGTTCGACTCTTTCTATTCGTCCACCGGGTTGACTTCTACAGTAACAGTTCCAGTTCGAGTTCGAGATCGAGTTCGAGTTCAAGTTCGGTTCCATTCCATATATCCTTTCAGGGTTGAGTTCATCAATAAGTATATAACTGTTTCAGTTCGAGTTCGAGTTCGAGTTTGAGCGGGGCACACTATGCTCCGTCTCAAGTATTACTTCCTCAGTTGCCAAAAGTTTTCCTGAAAATCACGAAAAACTAAGTAATACGCTGCAGTCATCTTTAGAATCCGTGATCTGGGAGAGTCCATGAGAAGCCGGCCTACCACACTGAACTTCAGCAGCCGGCGAATTTGAAAGCATTCTTTGATGAGCTCAAAACCTCGGCCCGGTGGGCAAAACACCTTCGCTTGGTGACAACAAAGAATTGAGCCATTCGCCACCAACCTCGGGCAAACAAAGCAAGGTGCACAGCTTCCCCATGTTTTATTCTTTGACCAATGGACAAAGGTGTGCTTCAAGGAACAGCATCTTTTGTTGTGCTTTCAAGATGATCGTTCAAGTCTGTTCTGGGCGTTTGGCCTATTTATTTGCAAATGCATCTCCCCAGCATTACAAGCCCATCACCGAAAAGTTGGAAGGAAGTGCGCATGTCATGAAGCTCATTTTGTTCGACTACCAAGTTGGTCCAAGTTGCCCAATAGTTGTAACCTCGCAAGTGGGAATTTGACAAGACACTTGGCAGCCAGTACTTGACAGTTTGCATTCATCAATCATCATAATGCATTATATAGGTTGTCTGCACAGGGTCAGACTATCCAGCCAGCTCCGGAGAGGCTAAGGTAGACACTGTAGTACCTGAGTGCAACTCAGAGGCTAGAAATGGTCCCCAGAACGCTTACAAAGCAGGTGAGGTACAAGATGAGCCCGCATGTCGCTTGCAAAGATAATGCGCAGCCTGACAAGCGACATGCGACCACATCTGAATGCATACCGTAACTCTCGTACTGTTGGATGCCAGCCTTTGGTAAAGCTCTGTGGTTTGCACTTAAGACGACCCGTCGGCACGTGCACAACTGCCTCGAAGGTTGGGGGAGGAATGAAAATGCAAAGAATCCAAGAAAAGTAACAATGCCGCGCCCCCCTTTGGTTAGTTGAGTCCAAATTTTGGAGTTGGGCCAAGGAACTTTCCAGGAGCACTGGCTGTCCTCTTTCTCCACGGCATCTGCCTTGCCAGCGGCGCTAAGGGGTGCGATGGCCCTTGGCAAGTAGACCCAAGAAAAATCCCCAACAGCCGGGTCTGAGTTTGCTGATCAAGCACGGGCAACATTTGGCACTTGTCAATAAAGTTGCGACGTTTGCAAGTTTACAAACATGGCAATACGTCAGTGCCTATCTGTGCCAACATCACAACATCGCAACGAGCCAACACTTTACTGGCATCTCTTCCGGAACCGGCCTTGGAACCCGCCACCAAGTTAGCACAACAGCACGACCCGATTTTCGCATCTCATCTCAGCATGACAACGTGTTGGCATGTTAGCAATTGTTAGCATCACCCCAGCCAGTATGACAAAATGTCAGCACCGCTGCCTGACAACTTAGGTAACTTGCTGGCGTGACATGCCAGCGTATCAGCATAAGAGTTACAATCACGACGCGTGCTGGCAGAAACTGCATGGGAGTCTGACGGCATGTCAACCAACATGTCAGCATAACAACAGACCAGCATCATGCCGTGTCAGATATATACGCCATCTATATACCTGCACAGCCCCCCGGTGGCAAGATCTTCCCAAACTCCGGAGCTCCCTCCAGAACCTGGTCCAGAGCTTCGGAACTTGCTCCGGAACGTGCTTCGGAACACTCTTGCTCCGGAACCCCCAGACTATAAAAGGGAACCCTTCGCTACGAAATTGGGAGAGTGTTGGACGCGGGTCCAAGTCGCGGAAACAAAGGGCAATCATAGGCAAAAAGGGAGAGGCAGTAAGAATGCAACCTTTTTGTGGGCCGAACAAGGTGAAACCCACGAACCCGACCGCGCACTGGAAAACAAAACGGCGAAAACAAGCAGCCAAACATTGCTTGACGCTCTTGTAAGACACTCTTGTAGACGGTGCTCTTGTGGGATGCTCTTGATGGACACTCTTGTAAGAGACACTCTTGTCTCTTGTGGGATGCCCTTGTGGCAAACTCTGGCGTGAGGCTCTTGTGGGACACTCTTGCGGGACACTTTTGTGGCACACTCTTGTAGGAGACACTCTTGTCTTGTTGTGGGCCACACTCGTGCAAAACTCCTGTGGGACACACTCTTGTAGGACAATCTCGTGGGCTCGCGTCAGACACTCTTGTGGGACACTCGCGCGCGACACTCTTGAAACTCTTGCAGAACACTCTTGCGGGACACTCTTGTCGGACACTCTGGATACTTTTGTGGACAGTATTTCGGAATACTGAATACTCTGTGCGTCACTCTTGTGGGACTCTCTTGCGTGACACTCCTCACTCTTGTGGGACACTCTTGCGGGACACTCTTCTGGGACACTCTTGTGGGACAGTCTTGTAAGACACTCTTGTTGGACGCTTTTGTGGGGCACTCTTGCTTCCTCCTCAAGTCTCCAACACGAGCGTTTCGTACGAGACTTCCTCCAGCTGCAAAGCAAGCGTTTCGCGCGAGACTTCCAATACTATCACTCGCCGCTCGCGTCGGACGGCCTGCTCGATGGCATGCCGGACACACTGGTCCATACATGCACGGGAGCCTCCTCCGTACGCACGCACGCTCACACCAAAGAGAACTACCAATCAACGACAGGGATGGACCAAGTCTCCAACCTCCTGTCAGCGCCAATCCCACGCAGGGAAGCAAGAAGGATTAAACCAGGCGCAGCACCTACAACGTGTCCTTGCGGAAGGATGCGGCGACAAGCACGTGGCTTTGTTGAGTCAAAGACTCCAGGGAACGGTTGCGCGGCCTCATCCTTGCGAAGGGCCAGCGTAGCTTCTCGGGTCTTGCTAAGCTATACACGCCCCGAAAGGTAAGAGCTGTGCTCTGGGCAAACCGGAAACCGCTGGCATGAAAGGTGACTGCAAGTTCACAAAAGGAAATTGACCCCTCTTTACCTACAATCCATCGAGGCTGCCGCAAGGAGCAAAGAACTTGTTCCCATTCATCAGGTCCACGTTTCCAACCTCTTGGGTGGGGATGATGCGATGAAGTTTCGGGAGCCCACCTAGACTTACGCAGCAGTCAAAAACATCTGGAAGCTCCTCTGGGCATTGACTTTCTTTTCAAGTTCACCTGTAGGGAGGAGGGCGTGAAGTTGCGTCAACCAGCGCTGACGGCGAAGAATCCCACTTTCAGCTTCTTTCTGAGCCTCCAGAAATACAGGCGACAACTTGCGCGCCAATTATTGCTTGGCAGCTCTATCAGCAGCCCTGTTGTTGCGGATGTGAAGAACAGTCATGCTGCAAGCGGCCGCCTGCTGCGCTGTAATGAGCTCTCACGAGCTCAATAGGCAGGCGTTCCAGCTGATGCGCTAGAATCCATTCAGCGCGAATCGGCTGCGGATGAAGGGTCTTTCCACGCTGCACAAACAAAATCGCAGAAGTGTTTCCGCCAACTTTGACGTCTTCATTAACCATCAATACGCCCGGCGGTGAACAGGAAGTTCACCTGATCCACTGCAGATTTGCAGTCTGAGAAACTTCCCGTTCTTGCTCAGGAGGAAACGCATGCCTGCGTGATGGCCCACACTTCTGTGGTGTATGACGATAACGCACAATGTGACACCTACCTCTCCTCCGTCAAGAACCACACCTTGGCCGTCAACAATTGCAACGCGCCAGCAGTGAGCCCGAGATTATTCCCGTTGGTGACCGAGCCATCAGTCCACCGTTGCACAAGAACGCTCGGATCAAAATCCCCAGCAGAAATCAAATCGTTGGCAGGTTGTTGCCAAAGGCGGCGTCTGACAACAAATAGGGTTGCTCAACATGCCCCAACGCGCGAAAATTGCTTCCTGGCTGATGATGAACGGGTTGGTCAATTGAATCAAAGAGGGCCCCGCAACCCTGCGTGAGGTGATTCACGCAAAAGGTAGATCCGGCACACCGTTCCGTGGCAGCCATTCTATCGTTGGTCAGGGCGCAACCAACAACGACCGACTCAAATCGCATCTTTCTGAAAGAACTCCACGGGGAGAGGGCCCAATTTCCCGAAGTAAAGAAGTTGTGCGATAGTGGCGCAGGATTGCATTTGGGGACAAGATGTCTTTCCTTGGTGTAGTAGTAGCCATTCGGCCGTTCGGTAGCATGCATTCCGGCGCATTGCAGGAGTCTTGCGGCATCTTTGCGGGGAAAGGTCGCCTCGCCTAGCGACATGGAGGTCGTCTGAAATTAATTTCCCTGAAGTGCAGCACAAGCATCTTTCAACCGGCTGGCTAACGAGTGGGGCAGCAAATGCGCACGAGGCATAGTGCGTTGGAGCCGATTGAACCAAAACACGGTACGCACACGCGAAGAAAGGGTCGACCCTATGCGGTTTGGCAAGGGTCGCAAGAACAAGCCATTTGGACCTTCAATTTTGGTCGACCCTTTGAAAGGCGCTTGACAATTGTTCCCCGGACGCTCTCAAGTGAAACGAGAAACACGCGCGCACCATGTATAATTCTTGGGATGACTTTGGCGCCCAAAAGGAAAGGCTTCGTTTTATGTTGGGTGGGAAGACAGCCACATTTTCAACGTCAATCAGAAGTATAGATCCTGGCGCCAAGAACTTCAAATCACTTGGGGACCTCTTGGACAAATATCTCCACAAGGTCTCCATTGATCTCCAGCGTAAATCAAATCTGTTGGTCTTCGGCTGTTGGTCCGAAGTGACGACCCAGGTGTGGAGACCCCCCCGCGCGCTAAGTGCGCATGGGCAGCGCTGCAACACCAGAAGTAGCCAGCGTCGAATGTACGACATTGGCAGCATCGGTGGCTGCAGGCCAGCCAGACAACTCCACGGTGAATTTGGGGATGACACGCATATTGTGAGCCAGGCCTCTGCGGGCCGCGACAATTCCAGCAAATCCAGGTGTTCCCTAAACCGCGACGCACATCACCGGCCAGAAACAAGGTAGCACTGACGCGTCTTGACTGCCACGGCCTCCATGTAGTCTCTGATCAGGAGGTTGGTTGGGCCACTCGCCTGGAAGTGGTTTCCTTACCTTGACACTGCGTTTGTACTTCCTGCTTCGCGGCACCTGGATGGCGTGACGCGCGATAACCATACAGAGTTGCAGAACTGCCGCGTGGAGGCAAGCTCCTGCAGCGTGAGCTTGAAAGCTGCAATTGGGGAGTCCTTGCGCTTGTCCAGATCAGCTTTGGTGACCAGACTTGAATCAACTTCCAACACCAGTTCTGCAATGGTCGGAGTCGTAATCTTGAACTTCGCGTCAGGAAGTTGAAAGCGAGCTGCGAGCTTTCCCAGAGAAAACGATCATTGAGCGAGCCATTGTAGCCAAGCTTCGCTGTCAAATCATCGATACCTCACGGGCCCTCGAGTTTGGGCACCAGGTGAGGCAGCCCAAGCGAGTCAGTGGCAGGAATGAGGGCGCTCAAATTGATCTTTGACAGCTCTTGAAATTACCCCGCCTCGGTCTGCTCCAACCTGAAGCCGGTGGGTCTGGGAGAGCTGCTTATCTGACTGGTCCACAAAAGGCAGTGGGTCTTGCAGCACTAGGTCTTCCCGCTTAGATTGCGTAGGACGGGGGGATCGGTACCCGGCGGTTGCGCTGAAGCATGTTTCGGCTTGGTCTTGGCGCGCGGGTCAGCTGGTGTCATGTCTGCATCAGCACCAACGGCGCCTCCAGACCTCCAGCTAAATACTGTTGCTGCGGTTTTCGAGGACTGATGAGAAACCAATTCCTCACAATTGAAGCAACGTCAATTTTAAAAGACTGCTTCATCGCGAATGGCTTCGATTTGGTCGGCATACTGGTGTTTGTGCAGCATTTGCAGTTGAGGGTCACGAAGTGGAGACACGTTGAGGCCCAAGCGATGAAAGAGCTGACCCAAAAGACGGTAACCGCACATATCCAATCAAGTATCCTGATCAATGTAGTCAATGGGTACCATGCATGTCTTGCTCGACTTGCGCCACGCGAACAACATGTTCCAGCAAGGGATGTCGCCGTTGTCTCTGAGAGTCCGGGACCGTGAAGTAAAAGTAGCACGGTCAGGTGACTGCCACATTTCAATCTGCAGCCAGCGATTTCCACTGACAATCAACCATATAATGCGTCTGCACGTGGTGATGTCAGGCGTGTAGTGGTTGATGTATGTGAATTGGCCATGTGAATTGGCCAGAAATGGGATACCAGACCGCCGGTCAACAGAAAAGTAAGTGTCTGGGGGCGATGATTCCGAAGGAGATCGAGCGCGTAGTCGATCTCATCGGATGCTGCCCATGCTGGGCGTTGCTGGAAGTGTTGCAACCAGGCCTCAATGTCACTGATCTGCTCAAGCTGCGCAACTGTGGCTGGTTGTGTAGGAGCTTGTCGTGTCTGCGCCAAGGCAGCACTCAAAAGGCAACCTGGAGAGCAATCTGGCGGACGGGGCCCAATGTGGCGACGCCGTGCGATATGCCAAAGAAAAAATTCTTCCGGAGTCTGATTGCAAGTTGCACAACTTCTGGCAGCATCTGGTTAGCGCGCCACTCCTCAATCAAAACTGCATACAAATCTGCATCGCATTGACAGCAACATAGTTCTTGCGGCAGCGGATATTGTCCTTCTTGATCGGGGAAGGCATTCTCCAAGTGAAGGCTGGAAACCCATCTGTGAAGCAGCAACCGTCCGCACAAATTAGGTGGAGTGGGATGACCTTCACTTTGGACAGTAAGTCGGCACAGCGCTATGTCAAGCAGCGGCGCCACAATGAAGGCGAGCGTCACTGCCTCTGGCGACTCTGGCGCGACTTGGAGGAGTGTCAATCGTGCTTGGCCACGCCGGTGAATCTCAATTGCAATACAGCGGCGTTGCATCAATGCGCCGGTAGACTCCTTGGTGAAGAGGTGTGCGCGAATGGCCTCCCTACGAGGATCATTGTTTGCAACGAGTTGTTTCATGGATGGAGACGCCGGTTTTTGCATCATTGCGCGCGTGCCAAATCCAAGCGTCTACAAGTATATATATATATATATGTATATTCGAGTACCCAAGAGCACGCGCAGTGACATCAGCTCCTTTTTGTTATTGAACAACAGAGGCTTGCAGCAGCTTGCTCCAGTTGCGTTTCTCACCCAGGCTCCCACGATTGCAGCAGGTGGCCACCGCCAAGCCCCAGGCCAGCCACGATCACTGCCGGCAAATGCACGCACCGTGCAGAGTTCATGAGCAACGCCCAAGGGTGGTTGGCACCGGATCAAACGCACGCCATGAGACTTACAGCGCCCATCATGTGGGGCCCCAGCCAACCTGACTTCGAAGAACTTGACGGTGAATTCCAGATCGTCAACAACTCTACAACCGTCTTGCCCATGGCTCCAAAGACCTGGGCCGCTGATGCGTCAGTGTGGCAGTTTGCGCTTGGAGGTTGGAGGCAGCTTGCAACTTTCCAGAACCACTCAGTAGTGTGGATGGTCTCAAAGTCGTCACAAGGTTCCAGCACAACATGGGCAATCTGCGTCAGCTCCAGCGCATCAGGAATATAGATGACCTCAGTACGGTTCACGCGGCAAAACTTGCACGAACCGATGGGAAGACCACAGGCCATGATCTCCCAACACTTGCAGCGGCACATGTTCCAATCCAAGTGTGATTTATTGGATTTTCATCAGGGGCGCGACATGCAAATTGGTCAAAAAGACTAGTAGGATCATGAAAGACTTGCGTCACTTGGCCACGAGTCATATGTTTTGGCAGGCGAACGTCGAAAGCAACAGTTTTATTGATCCGTTGAGTCGAATGTTTTCTTGGCGCTGCCGGTTTGCTTGGCGCTTGGCCGAGATGATGTTCCGTCGATGGACCAGGTGGACAAAGCTCTCACGCTCAAACAAGATGAAATTGTTGGATGTGAGGCGTGAGCTCCATGCCATCTTGACCGCTTGGAGAGGATCCAACCTGGTGTGATTGACTGCGCGCAAGGCAATGGACCTGGCGAGGATTGCACGCAGGACTGATATTGAATTACCAAACCGTGTGAAAGCAAGCTGCACCTTAGTCGACAGGATACAGTCGTCTGTTGCTCCCAAGGAGAGAGCAGAACCTAGCTGGGTCAAAGAACTCGAAGCCTCGGGCTGCGTGCATCAAGAACGTGACCAGGCTGGCACACGAAAGCAATAGCAGCTATCATTCCAAGGCGTTTTGAGAATCGACTTGAGGTGGAATGAAAGCCCAAGGCAAATGGAGAGCCAACGCGGCCTGTCGGAGATGCCCTGGTAAGGTGTGACTTGCATCCACGTGTTTCGGTATCCTGAGGCAGCAAGAATGGCTTCAATCACCTTGAAATGTGGGCTAAGTACTGCGCCTGCCACGAAAGTGACGACATGACATCTTCATGTCTTCAGCAAAATTTGCACCACGCCACACGCTTGGAATGATTTCGACACGCACATCCACCCAGCAACAGCCTCAAACGCAAATCCCACTGTCACAGCCCCACTCTCACAGCCAAGGAAAGACGCTGCACCTGCGCAGCAAAATCATCCTCCACATTTCAACATGTTGCGTTTCCATACGTTTCCACGCTATTTAAAACGAATCTGACACGTCATGCTTCCATCCAAAACCTCCTCCAAAAGCTCCCCCCCACTGTCAGCGCCAGGCGAACGGTTGCGGTCGTTACGACAACGCCTCGTGAACAAGGCTCTACCCCCAGACCAGACTTAGGGGAGTTAAGCGAGAACCCTTCGCTCCGCATTCGGCAAAAAAAAAGGTAGCCACATAAAGAAAGACATGAGAAGAAACTACAGTAGAGGTTTGACGCGACATGTTACTTCCTGCGGCTGTGATTTGGCTAGTTGTTGCGGAAGCATGCAATAACCTGTTGCTATGGTTTGCATCCACATGCTGAAGGCCCCACCTCCTTGCTAGGCTCGAGGCGTCTGAACATTATGGCCTGCGTGTAACAAATAGAAACAATACCAAAAAAAGTCTTGTTGCTGCGCCCTGTGCTTTGACGCATTGCGGTTTCAAACCGTTTAAGAGAATTATGGCAACAGCGCTGGGCCTCTTTGGGCTCCTTCAACTGCTTGGCCAACGGTGGAGGGCAACCGTCTGCACCATGTAGCGCATGTGGAGCGTTGGCCCCTTCCCAAGGAAAGCCTCACAATTTGCTAAAAGGGCTCACAGCTCGGCTTTTTCCAAAGTGAGCCCATGTTTTGTCATCACCAGACCATGACACAAATGGTACCCAAAGGGACAGGGCATCACCAGCCGCTAGCTGCTGAGTGAATCAACCGTAGCCAGGTGGATCGGTTGGGTTCAATTGTTCAATTCCCTATTGATGTACCCTGCTTACGTGGGTTACACCTGTCTCTTAGTGCAACTGCAGGGCGCCCTACAGCAAACAGTTTGGCAGCAGCACCATGAAAGGGCAAGGTGTCTGTCTGTCCCCAGCAACAGGCTCCTTTACGGTCGCAGATCATCGGTTGTGGCTGCCCCCACTATCCTACGCCCACTACCCACGGCCGCCAAGGCTGCAAAAAGCTTTAGGATCTCCCTAAACACACGAAGCAAACCCACAACGTTCCAAGCAGCCACGTCTATTAGTGAGAACCCAGTCCTCAGTCCAAGGCTATGACAGTCTGAATTCACACCGTCTGTCTCTCGTCTCAATATTAAAATCTCAGCATGGCAAATTTGAATGCCGTGTGACATGCGCAAACAATGCCTTTGGAAATCCATGATCGTTTTGTCGCTTTGCAGGGAGAACAAGACTAAGATTGTTGCACAATACCGAATTAACACCAAGCATCATGGACTGCTTCACAGTTTGGTCCATCAAATCGAACCTGTGCATCTTTGTACCTTGCGTGGAGGAATCATGAACACCCATCAGGTAGCGACGTAGAGTGAGCCAAGTGACGCTCATGTCAAAGCCAAGATGCACATTCTGCCACAATGCCACACTGGAGTCGAAATAGAGACCAGCTAGCAACCTAGCTTTGAGATAAATTCCGATCCACATGTATATACCTGGTCTCTCTTTTTATGCAAGCTGCCCGATTTAAGATCGTTACAAGTGTTGGGAATCAAGATACAGCATACCCAAGCAGCCGGCAACACCGCCAGAGATACTCGAGAAGGCTGATCCCCTGCCACTATGAAACCAGTCATTAATGAGAGCCCGTATCTTCCGTCTTCATCGCTGTTCACATCCATTCACATCTAGTCGATGTGCTGTGTAGTAGTAGGAGATTAGTTTAAGTTCTCTCTACTTTAAATTAAGAGGTTGGTCTATATAAGTTACCCAAGTGTGTGTGTGTGTGTGTATGTCTGCATCGTATATATATATATTATGTATAAATTAAACCGTATTAAACCGTTTACATGAACAAATATCAGTGGTACTGATACTGTGGTTTGCTCAGGCTCATGGAGCCATGAGACCTGCACTTTGGCCGTGGGGCTCGGAGTCAAAGGACTCAAATCCTCCTAATTGCAGCAAAATTAACTGTTTTTAATGCCAAAACATTTGACAAAAGTATCTCATATTGTTTGCTCTGGCAAATTGCCTCCACATGAATGGACCATATTATTGAACCCAGGTCCTTGGTCATCGAAAATTGCCTTAGACGAGGGAATGCTGTCTATCTCTGGCTCTGCACAAACACTTTCTTTCAAACGAGGGTTGTTCACACAGCAAGAAAACAATGTCTGTCTATGTGTTGTAAACTGAGGGTGTGGCTGCTGGCTTGTGTTTCTGCGTGTTTCACAAAAAAATACCGTCTATCAATAGCTTTGTGTTAAGAAAGATTGCTCTTGGCGGCATATCTCCGACTGTCCCTGCAACAATCGTTGCTGAAACAGCTGTTTTGAAGGATTTATGGACAGAGCACATGCATGTTGTTGCGCTAATCTTGTGTACAGCACTATCGCTTAGCCTTGATCCACATAGATGTTATGAGCCTTTCTTCCTCCGGAAGTATTGTTGCCCTACTAAGGTGTGTTGTGTGGGTTTTGAGTGACGCCCGACGACTTGGAGTTTTGGTTGCCGTCATGGCAGTAGGTCTACTCAAGATTTCTTTTTCGGTACACCCCTGATTCAACCAAATCTATCCTCTGGGGTTCAATAAATTCCAAGCTGCAGAGCTGGTATGGAGGATCTCAAAGACCTGCCAAAGTGGCATGAAAAGGATGCTATCTAACAAAATGCATGCCTCTGTATTGATAAAATGTGCTGCACTCCTGTCACGTATGTGGGTTTGGGGCATAGGAACTTGGGAGCTAGCTCGTTGGCTCATAAATCGACTCGCAGATCTGCTCCATGGCAGGTACCACGGCCACGGCTGAGACTGAAGGCCTGTTCAAAGACACCCTAAAAAGGCTTCAGAAAGAAGAGTGCCCGGCCCGTTATATAATTAGTGAGTGTGTTGATATGAAAACATGCACAGAAAGCGTGAGCTGCTTTACAGCTTGATTGCAGGTGACAAGTATCATTGAAGAACAATCAAGAAGAGCAATGCGTGTATACATTTGGTAAGCTCAAAGACGGCTGACTCCACTGTTCCAACTATCGCAATCGATATTTCTGAAAATATGCATGCAAGGCATGCCAAAAAGGTGGCCTGATTCCAGCCAAGTGGGTACAGACTCTAAAACCTGAAACCTCTACATCCTACGTCTGTACAATTTCTCCTCTGTGACAGACGTAGAAGACGTCTGTATGACTCTATCTCTTCCCAACATTGGGAGCAGCTGATCCGGCCCACAACTGACGCAGTTCATTCACACGAGCTTCAGCGCGCTTTAACTCACTCAAGGCAATATCCATCTCCTGCCACTTTCCCCTGTTTTGACTCATATGTTTTCTGTTTCTTCGCAGAAACATCCAGAGTGGGCAAGCCAAATCAAACCATTCCGACCAGCCAATTGACAAAACTCTCCAGCAAAAACCAGATTGCCAAACCTAGGGCCAAATGCCTTGTCAAATAGATATCAATTGAACGGCTCCTGCTCAAGGGACGGCCTGCTTCCACCGCCAAAGTGGCTGGTCTGAAGCGGCACACGGAGCAACCAAACTCTCACGATCAGATTCAAAAGTCAACTTGAAAGAAATCGGCCAGTACCAAGTGCAATGCACCCTGCTCTGACCGCAAAACGGTATAGTCATTATACAGTATGAGGAACTCAGAAGGTATGTCCCGGCTATCTCAGGCCCTTACGCAGTGCAGGACTGCCTCGTGGACAGTGTGGAAGCGCCACTCCTGCAGCATGTTTCTCTACTACTTAGTAACAAGAAGCTACTAGTAGCAGGGGCATCGCTGCTATATAGTAACAAACGGCATCGCTACTAGGAGCAAGAACGCTATTAGTAGCTCCTGGCATCGCTACGAACGGAGCAAGAACGCTACTAGTACTTAGTAGTAGCTGTATGAACCAAAGAAACGAAGGCATGATGTGCCTCTCCAAGAGAGTCCAGCAGGCCGAAGCGTTCAAAGGCTCCCTCCAAGCGCATGCTGATGCAAGCAAATGCCACTTGAACACCTGACAAGAGGCATCTTGAGGCTGTAATGACTACATTGCACATCTTCTCCCACTCCAAACGCACCAAGGAATTTAGGAATTTCGGCAACTTTGCCTTTTTCCCGGAAGTTTTGGAGCACATCACTCAGCGCCTGCCAGATGGACGAGCAACACAAAAAAAAACTGTTCATCACAACACGTTTCTGTATATAAATATGTGTGTGTGTGTCACACCCCGTTTCCAGGAATCTTCCACCATTTGTTTCCACCATGAGCAGGGGCAGGCCCATCGTGGATACCTGTGCCAACGAAGCTGTTCCACGATGGGGGGATGCCGAGATTGATCACCTCCGCTGGCATCACGGCCACTAATGCCACGGCTGATAGTGCCCACCAGACACCAGCAACTAACCGTTCTCGCACCCCAACCCGACGCCGCCATCATCGAGCCCTCACCGTCGACACCATCGCAGACACCATTCCAGCCATCGCACATCCCACAGGCACCATCACCGCCATCACCGTCGCAGACGTTCACGCTCATCCACACCGTCTGAAGACTACGCGCCCACCACTTCACCAACCCCTGAACAGGAACACCACCTTGACACAGGGAGCTGCGACCTGTCATTCGTGCACAACGCACAGACCGCCACAACCTGTCCACTTCCCACCTGGTTTCAGTCAACAACCGCAACGTGAATCAGCTGGCCGAAGTAACGTCCCTAGCCATTCCTACATCGCCCAAATCCTCATTGACAGCCACCTCGACCTAACTTGCACAACTTTCAACAATCACACACATCGACACAGAGCAGTCGTCGAGGGCCCGAGGAAAGCCGGGTCAACCTAGCTGGTTGGTTTGCTGCAAGGCCTGCTGTAACGTTTGAGCCATCTGCGTCGTCATGTAGTAGGTAGAAGCAGCACTCTGGGCGCGGCAGCAGCGGAAGAGGGCGCGAATGGCATTTAGGAAAGATGCACTTGTCGGGCGTGCCATGAATTACGAGCGCGCAGGTGAATTATTTACATCAAGCCCCACCGGCGTCACGACATGCCAGTAAAAGATGGTGTTGAAGCTAGGTCCGATTTGGAAAGGACAAGGAACCAACAAGCTCAAAAGGTACATCGCACGCTCGCGCAAAGAACGATAATCAATTAGAGCAATCTGTCTCGCGCGAAGCGCTGATCTCCTTTTTCCCAAAAGCATTTCCGATGGTTGGGTTCTCGTTTAGTCGCTAGTGCCGCGGAAGAGCGGCGTTGTCGGGGACGGAAGATGAATGTGGAGGACGGGGTTGGGAAGGGAAGAGGGAGAGGAAGGAAGGGAGGGGAGCGAGACGGGAGGCGCATGGGTGGGGACGGGGCTGGGGAGGGAAGATGGAGGGGAGCGAAACGGGAGGCGCATGGATGGGGACGGGGCTGGGGAGAGAAGATGCTGTGGAGCTGGGTTGGGACGGGAAGCGCAAGACGGGAGGCGCATGGGTGGGGCTTGATGGAGGTGGACGGGGCTGGGGAGGGAAGATGGAGGGGAGTGAGACGGGGCTGGGGAGCGCATCAGTGTGGACGCTTGCGGGGACATGGTTGCACCACAAGCATCATTGCAGGCTGCTCCGGGAGTGGACAAGCAGAACGAAGCATGGGTGGGGGTAGTGCTGCTCCATGCTTCGCGGAAGCACGTTGGGAGGTGAGTGGAGCTGTGTTGCGGGGCTTATACGATGGTCTTGGGTGTCCAAAATGTGCGCAATGCGTGCGACAGACAGCCTAAGTCGTGGCCGAAACGGCAGGATTGTTGCGTCGAGCGCATGGTTGCACCACAAGCATCATTAGCGCACAAGTAGAACGAAGCATGGGTGGGGGAGTGCTGCTCCATGCTTCGCGGAAGCCCGTGGGAGGTGAGTGGAGGGGCTGATACGATGGTGTTGGGTGTCCAAAATGTGCACAATGCATGCGCCAGACAGTCAAGTCATGGCCAACACGGCAGGATTGTTGCGCGCCAGAAGCGCAATGCGTGAAATCCGGGCGCCGGCCACGCGCCCGTGTCCTCGCCGGAGGTCTTCGGCGGTAACCGAAGGTTATTTAAAGGCTTGCGCCTAACAGCCGGGCGCCGGCCCACTTGGGTCTGTGTAGGGCTGGGTCGGGCGCACGTGAAGCTATCGGGGGCATACACTGGGCCCTGGTGGTGCCGGAAACTGGTCCGCGTCGGAGCCCTATATTGAGCAAAGTTAAGCTATCTGGTGCGCATCTTGGCCCTAGGTTGGGCCAAGTGGAGCCCATGTGGTCTATGTTGGGCACATCTGGAGCCCATGTTAACCCTATGTTAAGCCTACGTTGGCCTATGTTAGGCCTATGTTGGCCTATGTTGGGCCTATGTTGGCCCCATGTTGGCCTATGTTGAGCCATCTTGGAGGCTATGTTGGGCATATGTTGGGGATATGTTGGCTATCTTGGGCCTATGTTGAGGATATGTTGGGCAATGTAAGTCGTCTGGAGGGCCTCTACCCACAAAATGTCGATTAAGCCTGTCCGCCCGGCGCGCATTACCGACACCACCCTTGAAAAACACAGCATTTTTGCATTTCTCCCTATTCCCCGCGTCGTACTTCGATATGCGCAATAAACCCTGTAAAACACAGTGTTTTTTATACCTCACACACACGATACACTGTAAATTACAGGGGCATCAGTGACCCGGTGGTCTGCCCGTTTTGGGAACGAGGGTCGGCGGCAGCCAGGGCCAGCGTCTATAACCTTCGGTTACCACCGAAGGCCCTCCGGGCATGCCACGGGCGTCCTGGCCGGCGCCTGTATATACGGGCGCGCCCCCTGCCGCCGACCCTCGTCACCAAAACGGGCGGACCCCCTTCCCACTTCCTGTTCACTGAAGCCCCTGTAATTTACAGTGTATCGTGTGTGTGTGAGGTATAAAAAAACACCGTGTTTTACAGGGTTTTGGGCCCCTCGGCGGCCGAGAATTTCAGCTAGGCGATGTCATAAAACGTCGGTTTTTCCATGGGTTTTGGGTTGGCGGGAAGGAAAATATCGTAAAAAGTTGTGTCGGAAGATTTTTTCAACATAAATTGCCTAACATATCCCCAACATAGGCCCAAGATAGCCAACATATCCCCAACCTATGCCTCACGTAGCCTCCAAGATGGCTCAACTTAGGGCCAACATAGGCCAACATGGGGCCCAGATACGCCAACTTAGGCCCAACATTGGCTCATTGGCTCAACCTAGGCCAACATAGGCCAACATAGGCCTAACATACGCCAACATAGGCCCAACATAGGCTCAGCATGGGCCCCAGATGTGCCCAACATAGACCACATGCGCCCAACTTGGCCCAACCTAGGGCACCAGAGAGCTTCACTTTGCTCAATATTAGCCCCACTAAGGCCAACAGAGGTGTGACAGACGCCCCACAAATACCACAATCAGCGAGATGGCTTGCTAGTTTCCGGTTGCACCGCCTCTCCCGACTTTCGGCTTCTGCACAGAGAAGCCAGGGCAGTCAGCCTCCTCCAGGTTGGAGGATGCTGCTGGGATGCCCCATGTCCCAGCCCCCGCGCAAACCTCTGTTTTGGCACGCTTTGTTTGTCATCAGCATTTGTCTGTGTGTGGTTCACTGCGTCTTGGTGCGAACTGTGTCGCACATTGAAGTCACTGACGTGTTGAACCTGATAAGACAAAGGAGAGAGCAAACGCCATCCCGCGCGTCGAAGCAAGCGGTTTTTTCTTTTTTGCGGGGCAAGACTCGGTGTTTGTTCGGTTGGCGAGCGCCACACAGGTACCCATGCTGCCAGGGGACCCTTGGTTGGACGCACCCTCACTGTTCATTACACGTCTGTGCCCCGTGGCCTGAGCGACGCTCTCGTCCCTCGGACGGGCGCTGCCGGGGTGCCCCAAACCCCGGCCCCGTCTTCTCCATAGACGAGTGCAGGGCTTGCTCTCTTTCCCACGTGCGCCGGCGCCCGGCTGTCAGGCGTAAGCCTTTAAATTGGATGGTTGGAACGAACCATGGAGAGGGCTGACGCTGCTCCATGCTTGCTGGAACGGTTGTCAGAAGCCAAGTTGCAATCGTTTTATGACCGTTTTGGAGGGCTTTCAAAACTGACCAAGGGGTGGACAGGGGTGTATATGGCAGACAGGGGTGGACGGATGCGCGCCAGAACCGCGATGCTTGAAATAGCATGGTTGCTGCGAAGCCTGGCGGGGGCTGATGCTTCGTTTTGGCCTGCTAATGTGTGTTTGTTTATTTTTCCTGGGTTGTGCGCTTCTTTTTGCTTGTGGGTCCGCGGGCTCACCTTGTTTCAATGAAAGGTGTCCGGCGGCACGCCATCAGCAGCCCACACTAATTCCTTAATTTTTCATAATGGCATTATCCGGCTTTATTGCCCAGCAGCGGCCGCGGGCATGATGCACAGCGCCGTGTTGATCGTTAAGGAGTTCTTGGGCACGGGCGCGGTTCTTGTCGAGGTGCCATGTTTTGTGCAGGACGCGCGCTTTCGGTTTAGGGGCTGCTTGAGCACAAGTCTCCAGACCATCATATACAGTAAACTATTTATAGAAATCCCAAATCAGGAAATCCAGCGTCTACGATACTTTCTTGGAGAAACATCCCCTACTACTGTAGGATACTCCTGGTTCTTCAAAATGACCTTTTGATAACCTGGTTTGAGGTCACGTAACCCCACTAAAGGTCACCTAGCAACCTTCAAAAGGTCACTTTGAAGAAGCTGGCGATATGTTTCCGGATAAGAAAACATGTTCAAGTACTGTTGATCTATCTTGACATTCTCTGTCTCAAATCAACCGATCTCTCTGATCCGCATCGCAGTCTCTCCTGTCAGCTCGCCCAGCGCGAAGAACCTCGAGAGCCTCGAGAGCTGGTCCGCCCGCAAAATCCCATGGACGACTCGCTGGGCCACGAGTGGTAAAAGTCTCCTCCGGGCGTATAGCCTCCTTTATCTAGCTTCCTCTGCGATGTCCACCTTGCAAAAAATGATCTCCTTAATCTTCACCGGTTCCTGGGCTGGTCTTGCGCCTGCCAACCCGAGCTCGCCCTCTTCATTAAGGTACGCGAGCCTCCATTTCACGCGAAGACTTCCTACTTTAGCGGTGAACGCCAACTTGGCCCTGCGCAACATACACCTGTCATTGAGTGACCTGCCCCAAAGAGCAAACCTTTTGGCCGGCCAAGATGAGGGAGATCGGGCGTTGTGTGGTGGCTTCACGTCGCGGTGCAGGTGGCGAGAAGGCCTTGCGGGCCAAGGAGTGAATTTGGATAGCGTAATAGCCCACACCACCGCCCCTTCCCTCCCCACGCTTCCCACGCTACCTCAATCACACTGTCACGCAATCCCCCACCTTCCCAGCGTTCAGACACCGACAATTCCCCAGCTCCAAGCGCAAACCTCGCCATTGCAAGCCAGCCCCCACACCCCCAGTCGACCGAGACTGGGATGAATGGAGCGCTGACCCATGACGTACGACCTGAAAGGCAACCCCGCTCCGACCCAATTGGCACTATGTTTCCTGCCTTGTCGACGCTGCGCTCGAACATCCCATCCCAGAACAGTTCCGCAACGCCCTGCGCCGCCTGCGATTGCCTTCGCGCAGCAGCATCCTCCCCGCCAGCAACAGATCCCACATCCACATGCCTTGAGTCTCCCTGGCATCGTATCGCCACCAAATCCAGCAAAGCAGACGACCATCGTCTTCCAGCACCGAAGACCCACGCATCTCCACGAACATTCCCCTCTCAAGAAATCCCGCCCTGGACAGCCTTTTCCGGCCAACCCTGAGTCTGTCTGGACACCCACATACACACACAGTCCAAAAGTACGCAGCTTCCTGCCGACGGTTTTTGAAAAAAGGCTTGCTGCAAGCCTGCACTGCTATGCGGCGATGTGTGTGTGTGTGTGCGCGCGCGGCGTCACACCCCGTATCCAAGAATCAAATCTTTAAGATACAATCTGCAGGGGGCCATCCCTCTCACCAGTGGTGGATGGCCACCGAAGAGGCCACTGGTGAGGGCTGTAAACAACTAGGGAAATGGTACTCGACACTTGTGCGTCGGCGCCTTTCCTTCTGTTGTCCCTGTTCTAGTCTACTCTACCCGGGCGGTCACGCTCCCTAACTATTGCACGGCCGTAATTCAAGTCCACTAAGTATTCAGTAACTAGTCGTAAAGGGCTAATGCGAAACAAGATGTTGAAATGTTTCTGTTTTGCTGACTCCGCCACCTTGCTGTTCACTCTTGCCTTTCCTCGTGGATTATGATACCGAATGAACCTTTATCTAAGTGTGTCTCCCTGCGCTTTCCCACTTGGGTGCGGAGTGTGATCCCCGTCGCAGGGCGCCGAAACCATGGTGTACCCCACATAGATGGACCAGCGGACCAGCGGACCGGCGGACCGGCGGACCGGCGAACCAGCGGACCAGCCGACCGGCGGAATGGCGGACCAGCGGATCGGCGGATCGGCGGACCAGCGGACCAGCGAACCAGCGGACCAGCGGACCGGCAGACCGGCGAACCAGCGGACCGGCGGACCAGCGGACCAGACAACCGCACGATCATAAGTCTCACGTACCTGCAGTTCTCATTAGGGTAACAGAAGGAAATGGTACTCGACACAATTGTACGTCGGCGCCTTTCCTTTTGTTGTCCCCGGGCGGTCACGCTCCCTAACTATTGCACGGCCGTAATTCAAGTCCGCTAGGTACATATTCAGTAACTAGTCGTAAAGGGCTAATGCGAAACAAGATGTTGAAACTTTTCTGTTTTGCTGACTCCGCCACCTTGCTGCTCACTCATTCCTTTCCTCTTCGAGTGAACCTTTATCTAAGTGTGTGTGTGTGTGTGTCCACCCCTGTCCCAAAGGGAACTAACCTATCTAGCTTTTCTTTCTCTTCCGTCGTTTCGCATTTGTACAGAAGCAGGGGGACATGGCGTGCGTTCAGGGACCATGTCCAACGAAGCTACCTGACGCGTGGGAAATGAGAGCTGATCACTCTCACGTACCTGCATATTTGACCGACTCAGCAATTTCTTTGTGAAGGTCTAACCTGCAGCAACACTAAAGCGCTAATGCTCACCGCGAATAGTCTGAAACCAAGCTCCACGGAGCACTCTTCTCAAGTGTGATTCGCAGCTTCTTCCCACTGTGGTAAGCTGTGTGAACCCTGCGGGGCGCCGTTACTGAGTTGAATTTCTTCTCCTCACCGCAGGAGTACATTTCCTGAATGCTTTCTGAAGTTTCACGCTTGAAATTTTTGCTCGAAGTCAGATTGTCTGAAGCGTTTCACCAGGTACACGTGAAGCTTAACTGCAGAGTCCACTGTAAATCACATCTGAATACTGTTTCACCCCAGGAGACGTTCCAATTGTTTAGCTTTCGCAGAATTTTATACGCGCCTCTCGGCCAGTGCCTACGGGCCCGCGCCGTTCGCTCGCAAGAGCACTCACCCCACCGGCACCCCCTGCACCTTTTCTTGTTTCTCCTTGCCTTTTCGTTTGTCTTGTTCCTTCCTTCAGGCTTGTTGGGCGCGTGTGATCCAGGCTCGTTTAGTCGACGCACGCCCTGCCCCCCCCGCACCCCCTGCACCTTTCTCTTCTTTCCTTACTTTTTCGTTTGTCTTGTTCTTTTCTTCAGGCTTGTTAGGTGGCATCCAGGCTCGTTCAGTCAACGCACGAACGAACACCCCTCCACACCCCTGGCAAGAAAAGAAAAAAGAAAAAGAATAAGCGAAAAGAAGCGGTCAAGCGCACTTTGCGCTGCAGCGTTGCAGCCATCCAGAGTCTTACTAATTGCACCGACACGGCTCATTGTGTGTGTCCACCCCTGTCCCAAAGGGAACTAACCTATCTAGCTTTTCTTTCTCTTCCGTCGTTTCTCATTTGTACAGAAGCAGGGGCACATGGTGTGCGTTCAGGGACCATGTCCTATAGCTGATCACTCTCACGTACCTGCATATTTTTTAACCGACTTTTCACGTCTCACCCATGTTGAAACCTTCTGCTTGACCGACTCAGCAATTTCCTTTAGTCAAGGTCTAACCTGCAGTAACGCTAAAGCGCTAACGCTCACCGCGAATAGTCTGAAACCAAGCTCCACGGAGCACTCTTCTCAAGTGTGTGTGTGTCTGTCTGTGTCTCTGTGTGTGTCACACCCCGTTTCCAGGAGGGGTCTTCCACCATTTCTTTCCACCATGAGCAGTGGGCACAGGCCCATCGTAAGTACCTGCGCCAACGAAGCTGTTCCAAGATTGGGGAAGCAGAGATTGATCGCCTCCGTGTACCCGCTTCGAGCACAATGACTTTAATGGCACACTCTGCTGCAGGCTGTTTCCCAGGTTCACCAGGTCTTCTCCACCGATTCGTGTTTTTGCGCTGATCGCTCGCAGCTAGCCTCCGGCTTCTGCGTTGCAATCCATTGTTCAATCATCTACAATTTGATGGACCCAGCATTCTTGCGGTTTGCACTAATTAACCAGTCAAGAGAACTGCATAACTGAGATTATGTTCCCTCGCCGGAACTTTGAGTCTAAGTGTGGAAACCTTAGAGTCACATGTGTGCGCGTGCGCTTGTAAATCTGAACATTTTGCGATGAACCTGCATGAAGACTCTTTTTTCGAGCAGGGGCCTAGCGGCTGACTTCTCTACTACTCAGCGCTCACTAGCCAACAGAGTGGATGAGGCTGTGGGCGCAGAGACTTGTATGGGCCTGAGCACTGATTGTTGCGCAATCACGATCCAATCTGATTTATATAAAGGTTTTTGTAAGCAGAGATGTGGTATTTGGAGAGATGCTTCCAGAAGTACCATGCAGCGTCGTTGAATTCTTCATTCTGGACAGAGTTGTTGCGGGTATTTCTTGAAACCGCCTGCATTACTCAGGCGTCTTTGAGCACTTAGGTTGGTCGATTGCCACCCCACAGTTTTCCAATAACTCTTTTTCCATGTTCCCCGAGAGTGATGAAATATGGAAAACCATTGTCTGAAGCCTCGATGGCCGAGTAGTCCGCTGTTGTAACCGGCGTGAAGTCGAGTACAAGGTAATGAATTCTACCTAGAAAACAATGCACACCAAGAACGGCACATGTAAAATCGTCTGTCCACGCTGATCTGCTCTGTCTCCTCTATGCCAAACAGTAAAGGTACGCGGCGCGTCGGTTCAACTTTGCCAAGATGCTTATGTCATTCATGTCCTTGGCATTCTACTGAGTTGAATGCAGCTGTTCTACATCCAGCAACAATGCTAGGCAGTCAAATGGAACTAATCTGCCATGTTCATGCACAGTGTTCTGCTGCGAGACAGGGCTCGGCAATCAAAGTTCGTAGGGTTTCTTCAACGTATGCAACATTGGCAAAATATAGAGAAGCACCAATACGGACCTTGCTAGTCAAAAACAGGAGGCTGGACGTTGGTCTTTCTTGCATTCTCATGTCATCCATAGTTTACTGTCCTGTGGTTTCACTTGGCCTTTAGAAACAACAATTCTCCTGATCCCACCAGGAAACATCTAGTAAGCGCAGCAGCTAGCCCTCAAGGCTTGGGAAAGTTAATTTGTTTTCTTCGCCTGGCAACGATAAAAATTCCATCAATAAATGTGCCATCAGCATCCTGCTGTTGAACAGGGCGATAGCCTCGGTCAAAGTCAGACATAGAAAAGCATAGGAAATGAGAAAGTGAAAAGGAATCAAGTTCCACAACCAGCACTCATGCTAGCCCATGGACGAGCACTCATCGTAGCCCGTGGACGAGCATTCATTAATTGCCAATGTTCCAACTCAGCAAAAACGTACAAGTGTTCAAATACGGAGAGTTGAGAGTTTCAATAAGCCCGCCAAGTCTCCACAAGTACCCTCAATGCGCCAAAGAACCCTAGGCAGCAAGCATTGGGACAGCAACAATCCCTCATCTAAAGTGGAAACCGCAATTGCCAGTTCATTGATTCAAGAATCTGAATTTGAGGATGTACGGACTCATAGATGACCACAGCCAAGGAGAGCCTGAAAGGTTGCTGAATACTGAATACCCAGTTCCACAAAATGAAACAGCACATGTAGATGGGCCCTGAATTGAATGCCTGATGCGAGGCAACTGTTGTTTGCAAGACGGGGTCCCTTCTAACATGTTGTTTAGTCTGTGCCCTTGGTCACAAACACCAACGCAAAAAACAAAATGAAAGACGCGCTCTCCACAAGAGCAAAACGCGGACCTCAAAGGTCCAAACACGCCGCGTGCCTTTTCCAAGGCCCAAAGTCTCGAGCTCCACCGCTATGGGGAAAGGGTTCAAAAAGGTCATCAAGAACAACATGAACCGCATGCTCACATCGGTACATCCTCCTGACCTTTTTGGTCATGACGAGGGGGGATACACCGGCGCCGGCTCATCAAAGTCCCATGGCCAATTGTGTTTGGCCGCAAGTCCTCTCAGAGTGCCAACAAAGTTGGCCTGCTCGCGCCACTTCTTCTCAAGCGCTCGCTTGTGGACTTTTCTCCCTGCTTCAAACTTGTCGTCGTGCACCAGCCGCCAAAACTGCTTCTGCGAGAAGAACTGCAAGATCGTCTTGCGAGCTCCGAACTTGGTGAGGGAGTCCCCGAGCTGCGCCAGCCCATTCACCCAGCGAAGCTCCGTTCCAGCTCGAAGCGCCTGGTTCACCGCCAAGGTGAGCTCGTATCCAGCCCGCGAATCCCTCAATCCGTGCAAGGATGAGAGGTTCCGCGTCATCGCATCGTAGATGCCGCGGGAGTCCATGACCACCGCTCCTGCCGCCGCCTTCACGGCATCGTGAAGCTTGTCTCGCTGGATTTTCGTCCCAGCGAACTCCGAGAGCAGTAGTCGGATCTGGTAGTTCTGATCCTCAGACACGGTGATCGCTTGGACTTCTGCACCATTAGAGCCCAAGCACTGGCGCGGGGTCTTTCCGCTCTTCCACTGCACCAAAGCCACTTGAACCTCTTCTCCAAGAAGTGCCTGGCGGGGAGCCACTCCAGATAAAATGCAAGCTGCGCTGCACGGTCATGTTGTGAAGCGTCAGCCCATGTGATCACTTCCAGGTCATACGATGTTCCAAGTCGAAGGGAAAAGCAATCCCTGTCCGCTCTCACGCTTCATCTCTCTGATGAGGCGATTGACCTTGTAGAGGGTCTCGATGGTCGCCCGGTTGATCTCGCTCAGCAGCAAGGAGGCTTCTGCGAGGTATTGTGGGCCTGTTTGCGTAGCCCTCCAGCTCACAGTGCCAAGCGCTCCTCTCATGGCTGAAATCTCAGCCGGAGTGAGAGGTGTCTTCCGAGCCTTCTCCTTGTCAATCTCCACCTCCTCAAGCCATCTCGTGGAGTACTTCTCCTGGTTCAAGATAGATAATGCTCAGGTCATCCATTTGGCGGATGTTGCATCCGGCGAACTCAAAATCATCCTGCTCCCATTTGCCCCATCTGAAGGCTTCGGCTAGTGCCTTCTCTCGGGACATGTAGTGCTCAGAGTCCACCTTTCCAGCCAACAGGAAGTTGTCCACGTGAATTCCTGCCAAACCATGGATCGAAGATGAACCATCATCACCCACCTGTCGGAGTACGAAGCAACACTTGTCGCGGAGCAGTTGAGTCCATCCGGTGTCCTGCATCACTTGGACACATCGTTCATACCACTTTCGTGGCGCATGTGCCAAGCCATAGAAGGCCTCGCGAACTCGAATAAGTGCTCGTTGGTCGCCAGGATCTGCACCGAACATAGCTGCCAACTCCGGAGGCGCCATCACATTCAACTCCTCATCCTCCAAGCTTATGCCAGTCTGCAAAAATGCACTCGTCACATCACCGGCCTTGACCTTCATCTTCAGGGCTGCAGCTAACGTCAAGATGATGTTGCGGCCGACCTTGGACATGGTCGGCGAGGCTGTGGCCAGCACCACCAAGCGGGCCTTTGCCGTCCCGTCGCCCTTCCTCGCGAGGACCCATCGCATCCTCATCAACTTGTTGAAGTCTTGTTCTCCTTGGTCGTGAGGTTCCTCAAGGCCTTACTAATGACGACCTGGGACAGCTCCTTGGCCATAGCCATGTCGAACTCCTTCTTCTCAGCCATCGACAAGGTGTGCCACTCCACCTTCATCCTGGCTCGTAGTCCGCTCAGCGCATCCCATAGATGGCTCATTCGGCTGCGGACTCCTTCTCCTTCTTGCCCTTCCGGGATTTGGTCACCGCGACCTGCATCGATCTCCAGCGGTGTCAACTGGGATCCCGTTGCCGGTGCTGCTGTCGACTGTCGACGGGGATGTCACCATCTTGTCCGCCTTCTTCTTGGGCTCGGTCTTGGAGGTCGGCTTGACTGGTGAGGTGCTCTTGGGCAGCGGGGTCTCCTTGGAGGTTCCATAGCCCTTCTTGCTGGTCCTCATTGTTCCGCGTGAAGAAGAGCTCATCAGAGCTTCGCCCAGCTTCTCGTCCGCTCTCACCTGAACCGTGGTCCTCCCATGACCGCCATTCTCCACCAAGCTGCGCCCCTTCAACTCCATGTGAGCTTGCCGTTGAAGATCTTCTCGTTCATCTCCTTGGCGTGGTACATCTCCCGGAGTTCTGTCTGGGCAATCTCTACCAGTTCTGGCTGTGGTCCAATGGCTCGGGTCTCGCCGGTACCACTGCCCTTGGTGATGTACCGAAGCCGCAGGCCGCATCGGCTGCAAGCTTGCCAGATTGCCCATTTGTTGGAACGGTCTCGGCCCGGCTGATGAGTGCCCACGCATGGCCATCCGACATGGCGTGGATCTAGGTCGTGAACCGGTGGGCATGCCTTCATTCTCCGACTCTTTCGAAGGATGGGCCTGTGACTCACCAAGTTGTTGAGCCAGTGAGCTGAGGCGGTCACGAAGAGATGCTGTGTCCGTTCTTGTCACAATCAAAATCGATGACACACGATCAACGGGTACAGCCGATTGACATTCGTCATGCTCATGTACCTCGTGTCCGCCTGATGCCTCAACTCCACTTCCATGACCACTGTCTTCATGCTCATGCACATGTCCGCTGACTTCTAGTCCATGTTCAGGTCCACATCTTCTGGTCCACGCTCATGTCCACTGTCTCCATGTCCAGCACCATGAACAGCATGCACAGCGTCCCTCTCTTCAGGTGCAGGAGATCGAAAAATGATCTCATCCAGTCTAGTCTCTCCAGGCGAGTGAACATGTTCAGAGGCATTTGGAAGGACCATCATGATATCAGGTTCAATCGGTGAGGATGCTGCCACTGCACCTGTTTCTCCGCAAGCCGCGAGGATGAAAAAGGTCGTACAGTCTCTTCCGGCACTGGTGCCACCTCAAGCTCAGGTGAAGCAGGTGCCGAATTGGTCAATGTCCGGCTGCCATCAGAACTCGATCGACATGGTCTTCAGGCCTGATCGCACCAACAGCAGCATCTTCACGATGAGCATTCCACATAGAAGCCCTCAGCAGATCTCGCGCAGCTTCGAAGCCAGCCTCATTGCGAGACCGCTTCCTGCTCCGACCGTCAGGTCGAGGGCCATCATCTCCGTCATCTCCATCTTCATCTCCATTGTCCGGTTCATCGTCACCGGGAGGTCGTGGTCCGTTCAACTGGTTGTTGAGGCGCTGGATCAAGAAGCGGAGAGGGGTCCGAGGCTCCATCAGATCTAGAATCAGTCAATGTCAAGTGTCCTCCACCTCGGAAGTTCGTAAGGGTGTTCGCCCGCCAGTTGCCAGTGATCGGACTTCGATGGGCGAGGTACTCTCCGTAGTAGGACACCATGGCCTTTCGTGCACGGAGATCGCGAGATCCCAGAAGCATCGGTGTTCTCTCGGCTCCACCATCCAGCAAATAGAAACTCACTCTGCCCACAAAAGGTGTCGACAGGTGAATCTTGGACACGGCTCTCTGACATTCTCCGTTGCCGAGCTTGGCCTGTCGTTCAAGTCAATCTCATACGGGATCCCGGCCGCGTCAATCAGCCGAGACATGCGTCGAATGCCAGCCACAGACTCCGTCGCGCCGGTGTCCACGATCGCCTTCGAGGTGGCCAGGTTGTCCGATGACTCATCCTCGGCAAGCGACAGGACATACACCTCGGGGCACCAAGCCTCTCCGTCGTAGTCCACGAAGTAAGCAGTGCCCTTCTTGCTCTTACCAGACTTGCCCTTGCCCTTACCAATCGGTGATCCCCTCGAAGATGAAGGTGATGAAGTTGAAGAGCCCTTGCCCTTCCCGGAAGACCACCTGTCAGGACACTTCTGGTAGCCATGACCTGTCATGCCACAAATGAAACAATGAAACATGGACCCATAGTGCCACCACCAAAGCCCTTCCCTTTTCCATTGGAGCCGCCCTTCTTGCCTTTCGACGAGCGGCCCTTGCCTTTCATGCCCATGGGACTGTAGTAGCCCCGTGCCGCGCGGACCTTGGCCACTGCTTGTTTGGCTTCAGCCAAGGTTCGATTTGCCTCACCAGGCCTCTTCGAGCCTCTTCTCATTCTCTTGCTCCTCCGCCGTCAACTCCACTCCATCATCACCAGGATGTACTTGATCTCCACCAGCGAACTCATAGTCCTCGTCATAGTACTCCCATGTTGAGGCAGGTGACCAGTCGTTCCAGTAGGCTTCTTCGTCCCACCAGTCCTCAGTGTCATCAACCCATCGATCATCGTCCCACTGCTCCCAACTAGCATCGTCAGTATACCAAACGGTCCGACGAGGCTGTCGTCCTCCTCCATCTTCAAGGCCAGCAGAACCATCCGCAAACAGTGATCTCAGTGCTCTGGAATGAGCTGGAAGTGGGCGCTATTCTTGGCCAGGGTCATGACATGCTGTCGTTCTGCAGCAGACAACTTCGCAGCCTTCAGGAGTCGGTATCCCCTGAGTTCATTCTCAAAGAAACCAGTGTTGTCCAAGGCCGCATGCTTGCCCTCTGTCTGGGTCACCGCAGGCCTAACGCCAGCCTCAGTGCCAAAGTTCTTGGGATCGAGGTGGCGAACAACGCTCTTGGCTGCTCCGGCCAAGCGCTGCCAGATGCGAGGTGCCGCCAGCTTCCTCTCGTTGTCCTTGAGGGAGGCCTCATACCAACGGCAAGAGGTCGCGAAGGCTTCAAAGCCAGAAGGGTCACCGTCCCACGTCGGGACTTCTTCAGCAGGCATCACAACGGCCACGGATCAGCAGGAGCTCCGCCTACCATGAAAGACGCGCTCTCCACAAGAGCAAAACGCGGACCTCAAAGGTCCAAACGCACCGCGTGCCTTTTCCAAGGCCCAAAGTCTCGAGCCCCACCGCTATGGGGAAAGGGTTCAAAAAGGTCATCAAGAACAACATGAACCGCATGCTCACACAAAACAAAAGTCACTACTCCAGGGCAGGTTTTGTCAAGTTGTAAATTATAACCTCACTAAGGACAAGAAGCATCACCGCCAAGCCGATGCCCAGCAGTGGTCCAAGGCAAAGAGTGCCAACAAAGGCTGTCTGAGTCAAAATATGAAAAGTCAAGGAAGGTCTTGCAAGTAATAGAAAGTCTATGATCCATTTCCATACTGTGTCTGTCACTGTGTTTACTTCCAAGCAGTCAACCATCCACATCACAAAGTCACTCTTTTTAATTTTGAACCTGCAGCCAAAACAAATACAGCGAAACCCATTTGAATCAGAAAACAGCATCCACAAATGGAAAACAGGACACTGGCAGTCTTGTGAAAGAGCTGGTTGTATTGTTTTCATAAAGCGCAAATGGAAGGCGTCTTGACTGGTCCAATTCGCTCTGGCTGAATCGAGGCCAAAGCAGGTTGATGGCTACGTCATAGGCCACAAGTTTTGACACGGAGCCTAAGAAAAAAAGAGTTCGACTGAAAAACACGGCAGTAAACATCAGCTGCACAGGGCGTCCTATCAATCTCCTTGGTTCCAAGCTCACAACGATCGCAGCCAGCACAAACTTGGGGAGGTAGTAGAAAAGCCTTTGCACCATAGTGATGTCTAATTTTGGATTGAACACATAGAGTTTATTGGAGTTTCAAGAAGTATTGTTCAGCACTGTCTTGCTCTGGATGCAATACAACTACCATGGTCCCGAATTCCAACTCTGGAGCCTGGAGGGCTGGACAACAGACACGCAGTTTCTCAGACTACATGTTCTCTAAGTGTCCAGCGGAGTGAGGTACAACAGGGCCAAAAGCGATAGCAGAACTGGCACTAAAGAAGTGCGCCAGAAATATATGACCCACCGACACATAATAGCAACGAAGCAGTGCCACACCACAGGCTATGTTGTTCAATGATGTTCAACTAAAATAAGTTATTGCGCCACAACTAAGTATGGCTTGAACACGCTGAGGATCTTGCCTGATACGATACCAGAAAGCTGAGTCACACCCCCACTAGCACTGCATACGGCACTGCGAGAGAAGCTTCCAGAGGCCTGAGTTCCACAAAGAAAGCACAAGCAGAGGAAGCCGGGCCAAGCATTTTTCTTGTTCTATCGAAGATTAAATTAAAGGACTCACCACAGCTGTTTCCATCGCAGCACCGGATATGACGTGAAGATGGAGCCGGCAATATTCGACATGCCCAGAGCCAGCAGCTCTTGTCCAGATTCAACTTCGTAGCCTTGAGACCCATGCAAAAAATGAAGGTTTTGAAGCGAGGGGTAGCAAGATTTAAACAAATAATAATAGTAATAACAATAATGAAAACACGACTATTTCACTGCATGTAGCAATCTATCATGCATGTCATTCATGCAAGCTGATGGATTCAATGTTCTTGAGTCTTGAGGAAAAGGCTCTCATGACGGTCCCCGACTCCTAACGGCCAGAACTTGACCCTCTGGATTTGAAACGTGCGTCCATGCCGTTTCGCCAGGCTCTTAGCTGTTGCAAAAGCTTCGAGAAAGCCTGTCGTCGATTGGCTGGCGAATCGATCAGTGGCGTTAGCCATTCGTGGCATTTCACGATCTGCTTGCACGGGCCTACGAGACTACTAGTACTACTCCTAGTAATAGCTTCTTGTTACTACTAGTAAGGCACCTGTTACTACTAGTAAGGCACTTGTTCCTAATAGCTTCTTGTTACAAGTAGTAAGGCACTTGTTACTAGAAGCGATGCACTTGTTTCTGCTTCCACGGGCCTATGAGACCCAGGGAAACAGAGAGTGGTAGACTCCTTCTCACATCCCACCAGGTCCATCTCGAGAAGATTGTCCAAGCGCAAGGCAAAGACCCGCCAGGAATCTCTTTCATATACTCCAATCCTGCAACGTTTGGAGCCCAACCTCCCAAGCGTCTTGGAGATTCAGCTGAAGGAACCCCTTGAAGTAAACAGACTCATGGCAAAATCCAAACATACAAATTGAAACAGCTTTGGCGCTTCGGACCTGTGCAACATGCTGCGCAAACACCCCCTTTGCTGTAGCAATAATGGATTCCGTGGATCGTAAGCCCCTTGACCCTTGACTTGCACGTCCTTCGATATGCTGCAGGGGCTTGCACAAGTAAATCAAAAGGACACCACAAACCTTAGCAGCAGCAAACATAGCCCCTGGAACCTGCCATATACAAAGCACAACGAAGGAATGGCCAAATGTCACACAGAGAAGCCCGGGGAAGGGTGGACACGAGCATACCGATGCATACCTGCCCTACTGTTTTCTGTGATAAAAGCACTTTGCATTCGACATGAACCACCGTCTTTGTGGCCTTCCCATCAGTTGGTCTCTCCCTCAATGTGCAACCACCCAGGTTAACAAAAGATTTCCTGAACACAAAGAAACGAAGAGAAACAAAGTGGCTGAACAAGTGAAGACACATCGGGTTTTAGGCTATATTGCAAGATTGCGCATCCGGCATATGCACTTCAAGCCCTGAAGCACAGCTCAGTAGTGGCCCAAGAGAGCCCAGCACCTTCCAGCCGCATTTCATGCCCACCTTCCGCAGGCCAACCAAACCAAATGTGAAAAGCAAGCCAAACCTTAGCCAGACTAGGTTTGTTTGGCACCAAATCTGACGTTTATCAACAGGTCAAGTTTCGAGCGTTGCCCTGATGTCAAATGATGCACACAGGCATTGAACACTGTGTTGTTTTTTGCAACCTTCTCAAAATACCTGTCAGCCAAAAATGCACCTTTGTTGTCAAGCTGCCCCAGTGTGATGGGCTGGCCTTCTGAAGCACGCTTGGCAAAAAACACAAGCTTTAGGATGGGAAATTCCTCGGACCCGCTACGCAGCTACGCACGCAACAAAAGAAAACCAGTTGCCGCGCGCGGCAATAAGTTCCTCACTGCGCCAACAAACGACAATGGGCTATACATATCTACATATATACATATATCTATTTATATTTATATGCACGCCACAAACCCTTTACAGGTCACGCTACACATCAATCAAATCTGTCCGAGGCACCGAATCTGCCACCTGCACACATTGGAATTTCTCAGGTGTTTCCAGTCCACGCCCATCGTTCTCACAACAAAATGTGCACCAAAAGAGAAACACTGCACACCGAACCGCCCGCCCGCCTTCACCCCAAGGAAGTTTTTCAACTGGTGCATCCTAACCCACAAAACCAATTATTCACACATTGGTCGACTTCTGTCGACTTCTGGGTACCTACGTATGTCCAAGTTTAACCTCCCTCTCAAACTTGCAACGTGCTGGATGTTGTACATCCGGATGAACAAAGGGATAAGTTTGCAACCGCACAACATACCAGCTGCAAAACAAAATGACCCCCGCTGGCTGGCATACGAACGCTTTACAACACGACGGGCAAATGGTGGACTGACTATGCTGCGTGAACGAAGGCAGCAAGAAAGCACTAATTGAATCAAATTTTGCCTTTGGACGCGCGGATCGTCGTAAAAATTGCCAAACGTGAATGCGGCACTGATTGGTGCTGCTTGCATGCTAAAGCGAAGCCCGACACTTGACAAGACCAACTCTGGGTTCGGACTGGCCTCAAGCTTTTCAAAACAAAATCGAAACTCGCAAGCGCCACCAAGCCATGAAAAATTAGAAGTCCTGGCCCCGACGACTTTGGCAAAAAAAACCTCTCACTTTCATGGAAGCCAGTTGAAGCAACAAGAATGGAGCGGGCTTTGGCGATGCGATCAAGTCCGCAATGAACGAGCCACCCGTCTGACCTACCTGCTCTAGCTGGCGTCGCCTTTGGCATGGGAACTCTTGCGGGCCGAACCCTTCCTCTATCGCCAAACCGTGCGCAAATGCGCCAGAGCGCGTGACTTCGTGGAGGGTGATGAAGATGAGGAAAGCTCATCATCCGCATCATCCGCCTCGTCTGCGTGCTCTGGTTCCCATTTGGCGGCTCAATTCAGGCACCCAAACTGTTGCCCCTTGCAAGCACTGGCGAATACATTTTTGCCGCGCGACACGCTGGACCTTCCCAGTGGAAGCCCAGTTGGCAAACTGTGATTTGTTTGCTGGAGATAGATGACGGAACACAGTCGTGGTGACACTGCCTTCGCCATCTGCAAGGCCCCGCACGTTGGACCAGCGCCCCTCGTCGGCAGAACTTTGGCCAGCTCAGGGCGACGAGGGGGCTTGGCCCAAACATCTCACTTTTGCCAAGATGCAATGGGTGAATGCCTTTCGCGCCCAAGTACCGGAACAAACCTGTCTGGAACAGTGGCTTAAAGCGTCCCATTGAAGTAAGAGACAAGTAATGAAGGAATGTTAAGGCTGATGCCATGAAGTGCAATGTTGATGTCACTGGTATGTTTTCAAGCAGCGTAGACATGAAAACCCCGCAGCGGGGCAGAGTAGACCCGTAGCCAGAGATTTGCCTTCCTTTGCTGGAGCGATCCCACTCGCCATTCATAGCTGGACTGTTGTTGGCCTGGGAGCGGGCAAAAACGCAAAGCCACTTACACTTGCTGCAATAATTCCATTGCTAAGTTGGAGTGGGCTTTTGCTGTTCAAACGGATTGCTGCCACAGATGAAGCGCACGGGGGCTAGGTTTCAGGGCGGGGCATTGGATTTCAACCGCTCACCAAGAGACCTGACATTGCTGAGAACAAATTCCTTGCCAGGGAAGGACCTTGACCCTCCTTCCCTTGCTTTCGGAAGCGCCGCCTGATGTGAAGCGCGGCAGTGGATCGGCAGGAAAAAGCACTGGATCCCCGGCCCTTCTGTCGTTGGGTCAAGTCCGCGTAGCATAGGAAGGACAGAAGGGTGAAAGTTGACAAGGAGGCTCTCAGCCATGCTCCAGAAAACACCCGAGCTGCAGTTTATCCTATAGGAAATCCAATCTCAGGACATGAAGGTGCAACGGCCCTCGATCAAGGGTGCAGAGGTGTGTAGCGGCTTGAGAAGTCATTGCTCCTGTCGCTGCTCTGCAAAATCAATTCCAAGGGGCAGGAGGTGAGTGAACACGGCTTGCATCCACCCTTGTTCTTGAGATGAATGAGCAGAGATTCAAAGTTAAAGAGCATATCCATGATCCCATGACAGCGCACTTAGCGCTCGACTGGTTAAACGTTCAAACCTCGCACCTCCATTTTGGCAAGACACACGGGGTGTTACGAAACTCAGCATATCAAAAATAGAACATCTGCGTCTGTGATTAGACTGAATAAGGGCCAGTCGTTTCAGATCTGCCAAGGTGCATGATTACAATCGCAGACCCACTGGAGAAACCACTGATCACCTCATGTCCAGCGCCCAGTCTTCACTTGCTCAGCATGTCAAAAGCGTCCGAATCTGACACAGGCGCTGACCACAAACAACACGCAGACGCAGACGTCACCGTACACCGCACGCGCGCGGGATATTTCAAAAATGAAACGCCAGAGAGTCTGAAACTATCGAATAGCTGGAGGTAGAGAGCGCGTGTCTGTGTCTTGAACCCTGTTCCAGTGTAGACCGTCAGATGGTGGTGAGGCGATGTGGGAGGCCACATCATGAAACTGTTACATATTTCACTTGAGAATGGCCAGAGGCGAAATCGAGAAGAAGCAGAAGGACGAGGGTTGAGGGTTAGCTTGTGTAGTGATAGTGACAAGAACGGTTGCTAGAGTAGCAGTACACCTACAGTATAAATTGATGAATGCCTTACTGCAAAGGTAGGGCTTCTGGTCTATTAATAGGAAAATTCAATACGGGTGTCCGATTCTGTTAACATGAGCCGCGGCCATGTTATTATAAGGCAAGGTCTTCAAACATGCCAGAATACAATGTTTGCTTTTTTCTCTGCTCTATATATATATATATAATATATATATGATGAAAAAGGTTCTGATTCCAAAGAAATGCAGTGTAGACCAAGTCTCTGGGTGACCCAGGAATTTCAAGAGGAAGCCCAATTGCAACACCTCGCAATGATCAGACTGTATGAGGTAGCTCGGAAAACAATTGAACACAATTGAAATAGTTCTCGTGACCAGAATTTGTGCAAAAATGAGAGAAGCTCCTTGAAGAACTCTTGCTGTCAACGGTTTGCAACTGAAATGCTGAAACTAAGCGTTCGATGTCCACTCAGCTGCGGCGCGCAACACAGCGTGAGAACGCACCCAGACAGCAAAGTTTGCAATATGGCCTCCATCGCAACGCGTGGAGCATCAAAGTAGCCAAGCGACGACCAAACTACTGCATACATACAGAACGCAAGCACTATGAAGCACTTGAAAAGTAATAAAGTTTGAATAAGCGCTTTCCGTCTTGTGAGACCTGTGCTAGCAGGCAGGGTCAAGTTTTAGTGGGGGTCTTGTGGATATGTAGTTGGTTGCTGTTTAATATTTACCGACCGCTATCAGCCTGACTTGCTGCGTCACTGCGTCGATTATGCGCTAGAAGATTTCTTAGTGCAAAGTGCAAAGTAGGAGGAAGAGAGCGTCCGCCCTTCGCTTTTCATATAACCACAGGGAGTTGGTTTCGTTGTTCTCTCCACTGGTTCGTGTTGCAATGCTTGGCAGGACGGAAGCTGAAACTTCGTCGAAAGGAAGGCAACAACCTTTGTACCCTTGTACCCGCAAGTTCCTGGCCTTGGCAGGTGCACAAGACGCTAACACTTGCTCTTGGAGGTACCCCATAAGACTAGCTGACTAGTCTCGTTTGTACGGTGCAAAGTACAGTGGGTATTTGCGCCTACGGGCAAGCATTTTCCACAAGGAACCCACGTACAAAAGATGCACATATGTATATATATATATAGTACCCCCCAAAGAAAAAAGTAAACACCCTTTCATCAAATTTACTGGTATTTACTGTGTTCTATGCATATTTTTGAGCAAAAAATGAAATTTAAAAAATCCAAAAAGCAAAAAACAAGTTAAATAAGGCAAATAAAAAATTATCCCCCATGACAAAACCAAAAAACAAAAAATGAAGAGAATGTTTGGTTCAGCCTCAAAAGATGGTTTTTGTTGGCGTTCATTGTGTTGTTGTTGGTGTTTTTGGTACTGACATCAAAAAAGATATGTTTTTTGTCTGTTTGAAGGTTTATGGTTGAAGAATACTATCAAAAAAAGAACAAGGGTTTTTTATGTTTGCTGATTTGCTACGAGTAAAACCAAACATCAAATACAAAAATAGTGTGTTTTTATTTTGGCAGTATACACCAAAGAAACACAATGTGTTGTTTTTTTCAAAACCAAGAACAACACAATGAAAACAAAAAATAACATACTTTGAGGCTGAACCAATCAGTATCCTCAAAGGTTTGATTCTTGTGTTTTGGGCTTTGTTTGTGCGTTGGTCCTTTGGGCTTTTCCACAACCTGTATTACTTTTTTTGGACGTTGATTTATATATCCTTTTGGAAGTTGGTTTAGATTTGAATTGAAACAAAATCAAATGTTCATCTATTTCCAACGGACGTCAAATTTAGATCCACCAAAACTGAACTGAATTCATGGAAATAACCCTCTTAATTATAAGTTAATTCTATTGAACTCTAATTTAGTTACTAGTTAAGTCCAACTTAATTCTAAATTTAGAATTTTAAATCCCAAATTGAACCTGAGTGAATTCAAATTCGAATATAGTTGACCTCTAATTTAAGTTTAGTTTCAATCTCCAACTTGATTTTAATTCAATTCTGACTGAAAACTCAATTCTAACTTACTTCTATTTATATAAATGTTTTCTTACCGTTAATTCTCATTCAAGTCTAATTCTAATTCATTATTACAGTAATTGATTTCTATATAATCGAGCTGCAGGTTAAGCAATTCTATTTCGATTCTATCTTTATTCTAACCCAAGTCTACTTGAACCAATGAAATTTTGAATGATAATTGACCTAATTCTAATTCAATTCTAATTGAACTCAGTTCAAACTATGTAATTCTACTGTAATTAAATGTTTGTTCTATTTTCAATTATCATTCGTTTCAATTGATTTTAATGTTGAGTAACGTCCATATAGTTCTATTCTAATTGGAATTAAATGCAAATTTTATTCTATATAATTTTTACTTCCGTTCAATTTAATTTCTATGCAGTGCATGTTTAAATCTAATATAACTATATTATTGTTCTAGTTCTAATCTAATGTTAGCTTTTATGCAATTCTAATTTGCTTCTCAAGAGTGCGTGTAGCTTTTAAAATGAACGCTTTGTATATTATTTATGCTTTGTATATTATTTACGTGTTGCTTTCTTAAAGTGCAGCGGAGATTTGAGCAATGGTCGCCTTTTCTCTGGGTCAAACCAAAACGGCTGCGGTATTTACACTACAGTATTTACATGGTCATTATGCAAAGTAGCCTGTATATTCCAGCACGCCTCCCGAGTGTGTTGCCTGTGCAACTCACGAGCACTGTGCTAGATCCGGCTCAAGCCGTTTAGACGTGAAACGCTAGGTGAGACTCGCCTTGCCTATACTCAAAGTTCATCAACCGCATCATCTGCTCGATTAAACGGGCAGTGACGGCCTCGGTGAGGATGTCAGCATAGTTCTCCGTAGCGCTGACCTTCGAGATGGTGATCAACTTCTGTGTCACATACTGTTGAACCCACAGAAAGACTGTGTGAATATGTTTCACTTTGCCCAAACCGCGCCGTGAGCCGATCGCGGCTCCGGCCGTAGCGTCCATCCAGATTCGGATGCTGAGGCGAACATTCAAGTCGCGGGCAACGCTTTGACCACCTAGGGCCTTTGAGGCCGCGGATACAAGGCCATAATATTCGGCTTCGCCTGAAGATAACGCGATAACTGCCTGCCCCCGGCAGAAACTGCGAATCATGGTGTGGCCAAACGTGATTGCACAGCCCGTTGTGGATTTGCGCGTTCGGACGCAACCCCCGTGGTCTGTGTCCACGTAAACGTCGAAGCCTTGCACTGATTTCTGATACTTGAAGCGTTGCACAACGCGAGGCGCATACAGCAAGTACCTCGCACACCTCTTCAGCAACTCGAAATGACGAACTGTTGGCTGGCCGGCTCATACCTTTCGCCATCTCGCGAACTGTCCTTTGAAGATCAGCTCGGTCTTGACCCAAGTATCCAATCCTCATCGTCCAGGAACGATAGATGGTTGCAGATGCTTCATCTAAAAGCTCGTCCTCCTGGTCCAAGTCACCCAGCTTCTCCTTGACCAGAGGAGTGGTCACAGGTTTGGTAACAGCAAGCTCCTGAACCACGAGCTGCGCGTGCCTAGGGCCCGACTCGTACTCGATGCCTTCACTCGTCCAGCGAACAATGCGGTTGAGACGCCGCATTTCCTGAATGCGCCCATATGTTTCGAGTGAGGTGGCCCGAGGATTCCGCGATCTTCGATGATCCAAATTTGCCGCAGTTGCTCGGAAAACCACTTCAGGTCGTCGATCTTACCGAGGGTGGTAAAATCGTCGCCGTGCACAGAAACCCTTAAATTCCGCTGTGGGTGGAAGAACACACAAGGAGTGGCCTGGCCTTGCGCAAACCCAAGTGAACTCAAGTCACGCAGGATTTGGCGCTCCCAGTTAGCAGCGGCATCGCGCGCGCCGTATACCTACCAGGTCTCGCCTGTGTTGCCGCATTTCCGGCGGCAACTCCACGTATAGCTCCCGAACTGCCTCGCTGACAAAGTGCGCTCTTTTCACGTCGATGAAAGAGATCATCATGTCTCGAGCGCACTCACTGGTTGCCCTCATTGGTCTCGAAGATCAAAGTTGTAGCCAGGGCCAGGAGCAACTTGAACGTAGACAAGGGCGGCATGGCTGCGAAGTATTGCGCAACCAGAGATCCTTTGGCTCCACGCTTGATCTCCTTCCCGACATACCTGGACCTGTAATTCGGTCGAGCGTCGTCGCCCTTGTTCACGTCGACCCACCTGCCTTTAAGGACAGGTCGATCTTTGGGGCGTTCCACCTCGTCAAAGACAGACATGCGCCGGATGAAATCTACTTCATCCTGCCTTGCTTTGAGGACGCGGGAATGCTCCAACTGCTTGCCCGATACATCGTCAAAGAAGGTCTCAAGGTAGCAATCCTGCTCCAAGCCTGAAGGCTCTTCGCACACAGGCCTTGGATTGCGCTGCTCGTCCGCCTCCTCGACAATGGTCGAGATTACCTCGTCGCGATCTTTTTCCAAGAACATCATCATCTGCCTTTACCACGCTGACAGGCTGCTCCATGAACCACCTCTGCTTCCATACCTGCTTCTTCCAGTTCCTCTCCACCACCGTCGTGTTTTCGTTTTGGCGCTGGTGGAGGAGATTCCTTTGGTTTCACAGTCCGCACTTCGTCACCTCCAGGCGGGGGTCGTTTGGTACCAGTCGGATGCGCAGCGCCTCCCGAACTAGAACCCTTGCCGCCTTGGCTCACCGGCGCTTGTCTTGCAATCACCAGCGGCGCGGCACTTGTTGAAGGAGCCGCTCCAGCAGGAGCCGAAGCCACACCTGCCGAGGCTGTTGGTGTGGGCGGTTTGTGTCCCAAGCGCCGCTCCAAGTGCCTGCTCAAGAAGCGGTCCACGCGTTCTTGCTCTGCAGGATCTTGGGGCACTGCCGCCTCCATTCGTTTCCTGCACGCGTCAGTGTGCATGATTCCGCCCGATCGACGTCCTAGACGGGTATTGTCACACGCAGGACACCCGGCCGTGAAACCGTGCGTTTCCAAGTTCTTGCGCGATCCTTCCACCGAGATTCCATTTTACCCCGGCCACGCAACCTAAACTCCACCGCTTCTCCCCAGGCTGGCAAAGGGATTTTCCAAGGCTTCCCTCTCAGCCTTTGGTACGCGGTCATTCCGTCCTCTTTGTCGCGGTGAAACAATGTACACAAGACAGCTGCGTACACCAATGCCCAAGCCACCATAGGGTGGTTTGCAGAGAGCTTTGCCAGAACAAATTTCCAAAAACTCCTTTAGGGTTCGAGCCAAACCCCCGACAAACTGCCCAGCTCTTTCCACTTCACCGTTGCTTTTCTCGTGCCCCTCAACGGGCGCCTTGTTTGGAACTACCTCTCCGGCAAACCTGTTCTCGACTTGCTGGATCAAAGCTTGCACGCTTGGCTCCTGATCGCCTTTTAGGGCTATCCGTTTGTACCCTGTAGACTCTAAGTCCTTTAGTAGCTGGGTAGACCCATATGGGTGTTCAATCCCTTTGGACGGCACGGGGTGTGAAAACACTGGCCCCGATTTCCGGTCCTTTACCATTAGTACTGGTAAATTGGTTGCTGGGTTGGCCTCGTCGTCAAAGAAAAAGTAATCTATGGAGATTGTGGGTATCTGTTCCTCATACTTCTGGGTTTGTTTCTTGCGCCCTACTGACAAACCTCGACCCCTTATGCATGCTGGGCACCATGACCTAAAAGGTAAGTGTGAAACATTATGTGCGTCTATCTCCTCCTGAGTTGGGAGAATCGGAGAGGATAGTGTGTTCGGCTGCTGTGCTTCCGCCTCACCATCTTCTCCGTTGTTTCCTCCTCTCGAGCTGTCAGGAGGATTTCCCTCAACAAGTGGTGAAACTTCAACTGTCTGCGATCGAATGGGCCTTACGGCATCGCCGCCTGCCCTTGGAAACCCGAAGCGGGTTCCTGATTGGCACCTTTCATCCACACCCGGACCTTGTAAACACCACCCTTTTCATACAAAGGGATGCCGGCTCCAGACTTTCGATCTAGGATGTATGATCCTCCATGTGCCTCGCTATCGTGCACCACTTTCATACCAGCCTTGGCCATGGCAGCCGTGCTGAAGATAGGTTTCTTCAAAGGGCTCAGGACTGTCATCCGCACACGTCGCTCCAGGCCAGGCTCAAAGTAGAAAGTCGGCTGCCGAAAGCCCATTACTTTGACAGGATGATTGGAAGCACTTGCGTATGGCCTTTCCTCGCCAGCAGGCTTCAGCAAAGGCACCCATTGGCGCCCAAGTCCTCCGGCAGGCCTGAGAGCGCAGATCCAGAATCAACTGTGACCTCTATCTCCTCATAGCCGTCCCATTGTCCGCTTGAGACGTCCAAGGAGTTGATCCCTTCAAGCTCATCGACGCCTTCCAAGCCATCCAGGCTTGAATCATCAGTATCTCCTGTCGGCATGGCAGCCTTCCTCAGCTCAACTACTTCCGCGCGAAGCCCTTCAAGTTCACGTCTGAGTTTCGCATGTTCAGTCTCCAGGTGGTTGCCCGAACCGGGCCTCCACCGAGATCCTCAGAACGCGCTCTCTCAAAGTTAGAGTCGGCTTCGTTCTTCTTGACCGGCGGTGCACTTGGTGGTGCCTTTGGAGGTGTCTGTCACCGGAGCACATGTGGAGGAACTCGGCCGTGAAGTGTCTCGATCCCAGCTTTGCCAATTCTTCCATTGACGGGATTCATGGCCATCCTCCTTCCATGCGGCCTTCTCCCATGACCGCCTGTCATCCCAATCCTCCCACTGATCCCTTTTGGGCCTCCAGCGTGATTGTTGGGGTTGGTCCCTTTTGTCTTGGCCTTTCTTGATCTTCTTCAACCGATCCTTGCTCTTCGCAAGATGGTTCTGTTTGGCCTGCGGTCCACGACGGTTCATCCATGGAGGTTTCTTCTTGGACCGTGGCTTCACCTCTGGAAGTTCCTCATCCTCATCCTGCTTGAACATCCGAAGCTCATCTCGGGTGAATGGTTTTGAAACCATATCAGGCTCCAAGTCTGGACGGTCTCCATCAAAGGTGCCTCCGTTTCTGTCGTATTTCTCTCGGTCTTTGTTCTCGATGTGTTCCTGCCATCGTTCCTGCACAGCCACACTTTGTTTCGCACGTTCCTTGGCATTCTTGGCTCTGTGTTCCTTTGCTCTCTGACGGCTCTTCCACTTCCGCTTGGCCAGCTTCCGGCCCATCTCCCCCACATCTCGCTGATACCTGGGATCATCTTGGATGTTTCCCTTCTGTTTTCTCAACTCTTCCAGGGTTCGCGTGCGCTCTGCGATTCTGGCCTCAACCTCGCTTCTGGCTGGGTCATTCCTGGAAAGGTTTGCCAATTCGGGGTTTGAAAGAAGCGAATTCCAGGAGTTGAGCTGCCTGTTTTCGTTGGTACTGCTGGGGATTCATCTTGCTCTTCTGTCTCCTGCGGCGTGGATGCCGAAACGGCCAGCCCGAGACTCAGAAGAAGCAGACTCGTCATCTTCCATCTCAAGGGCAAAAAGGATTCCCACTTCACCGGTGGGCTCTTGGGCTGGTTCGGGCTCCAACCTCCCCAATCGTCATAATCTTCTTCCTGCCACTGCTCATCTGTGGTTTCACCATCAAGGGCTTTAACGTCCTTTCTGCCATCCTTCTTCCCAGATCCTTTTGCCTCCTTGCCTTTACCCTTGGCCTTTCCACCTTTCCCTTTCTCTTTTCCTTTCCCTTTGCCTCTTCCTTTGGGGCTTCCTTTGGAAGGTTTGGTGGACGAACGCTGGCCTCCAGAATTCTTGCGCCAACAGTCCTTGGCAAGGTGGCCCGGCTTCCCACAGTTGTAGCACTCTCTTCGATGGACAGTGTCAACATCCACGGGCGCAAGGCCGGATGAAGAAGACGACAACTTCACATCCAAATAGGCCTCAACTTCGGACCTCATAAGGTCATAGGTGGAGAGCCTCGCGGCATGCAGCTCCAAGTGTTCCTGCAAACCTGCAGGGCATTGGGCCTGAAGGCACAGTCGACGAGCTGGATCAGTGAGTTGGTCACCGGTCCGTTGGACATACTCACTGTATGTCTTCTCCCATGTCTCCAGGCAGGCTCGCAGATCCTTGAGTTCAACACTCTTTGGGTGAAGGATTTTCCCAAGTAGCCGGTAGTTGCTTTGTGCAGTGTTCGGCTCATACTCCCTGGATAGTTTTCTCCAACCATCTGCCCCGGATCCACTAACAGCGTTTCTCATCATCGAAAGGGCTTCCCTTTTGTAAGGCTGACTAGTGCCACATGTAGTTGCCGATTGGCCTTACCAACATCTAGCCAATTCTCTGTCGCTGCTTGTGCGGCCAACTTTGCATCATCAATTGGTCCGGTTTGTTTCTCCGACCATTTCAGCATAGCCTCTCCGGCTGTCCACTGGCTAGCAAGCCAAGTGGTGAACTGGAAGCTCCATAACGGCCATTTAGATTTTATTTCCTCCTTCGTCCCATTCAGCACCTCAGGTTTCCCAACAGCCTTCACGTCGATCAGTCCCTCTCTGTCGTCCTTTCGTTGTACGAGGGCTCTCAAGGAGTCTATCTGGGCCTGTTGGGATTGCATAAGTTGCTGTTGCTGCTCCATTATCCTCAACAGAATCTGTTCTGAGGGATTCATTTCTGAGCCGGCCGTTAGACTTGGGGACATCTCGCAGGATATGGGTCGAAGCGACCCTATCCGCGGTGCCCTTTAGATGCAGCGCCGCACGCGCAGGTGTTTGCTAGAGCGGGTTTATTAAACCACGCTCCGCTACCATGCAGCGGAGATTTGAGCAATGGTCACCTTTTCTCTGGGTCAAACCAAAACGGCTGCGGTATTTACACTACAGTATTTACATGGTTATTATACATAAGTAGCCTGTATATTCCAGCATAAAGGTTGTTTTCTCAAAATCACACCCCCAGCAAAACCCTCTCTCTAGAATAAAGTCAGAATTACATGAGAATTCAATGTGCATTGAATTAAAGATTGATTTGCATTGAACTAGAATCGAATTAAAATCAAGTTACAGTAGAATTAATCAAAATTAAATTGAAAATCAAAATAGAATTAAACTAGAATTGTAAAACAACTGAAATTGAATTGTATAAGAGTTAAACTAGCTGAAACTAAAATTTAGTTACAAATAAATTGAAAAATAAACAAAACTAAATTTGAATTAACAAAAAACTAAGTTAGAACTAACTTCGAGATAAGTTAAAAGCAGGTGGGTTTTGGGGGGGCTAGCATATAGCATCATATAATATATATATAATGCATACAAATGTCTTGCTTTACAAAGGTAGCAGTACTCTGCTTCCTTTGCAGCAGTTTATGAGTGAGCACTGCGAAATGCTCTCACCAACAAGACTGCCACATCCACGAAAGAGTTCCTGATTGCAAACAAGCTTCCAAATCTATATACTTCTCTTGGCAGACCTCGAGAACGAGTCGACAGTATTCTCTCTCTCTCTGAAAATATTGCTTTTGTGGCACAATCGCAAAAACATGTGTATATAATTTATATATATATATAAGCACTGTGCTTTCCAAACACCTCTCTTTGCCGTTCCAGCTCGCTGTGGGTCTGATTGTGCCACATGGGACATTGGTACTCATCCTCAGCAAGAATCCCTCACAGCAAAAAGAAAGTGCTCCTAATTAAAAGTCATTCAGCAAAGAGAAACAAACAAAGTGAAAGCACTAATGCTTAGGGGTCCGAGAAGAATTGCTTGGCCATGGATCTACACCACCCTCAAGACCAGCCCGGAGCAGCAGTGAGAGCATGGCAACTGGACCCACCATCAGCCTCAAGTGCGACAGCACAAGCACTAGGCTTCACCCACCCACAAAGCTCAAAGCTGGCAATGGAAAGCTAAAGAAAAAGCATGGAAACTTAGCTTGGTTTCGTTGTGGCAAAGAAACTGTCTGGACTGGCCAATGAATGAATACACCAGTTGGGGCACAATCAAGGCATACCTGATGCATGTCAGGTTGCAGATTTTCGCGTAGCTTTTCTCCAAAAGCGCCTTTCTTCTGGCAAAACAAAGTGCAAGTTACTAAACAGTACCAAGCCGCAATCCATATTCCTGGAAGCACGAAACAAATGAAACACACATTTCTGGATGAGGCGCTTCTTCTTTGCAATCAGGTGGCGAAGGGTAGGCCAGCGATTTGGGCATACGAAAGACTCTCTGGCACACCCATTACTGACACTGTGGCTCCTGGCAAGAAAGATTTGTCTTGAAAAAAGCATTGTGCGGCAAACCCCACTCATGCCTTGGCATTTCCTTAGAAAAACTATGAAAAACTTATCCATGGGTCCATGGGTAGACAAAATGAATGCTGGGCGGGCGTGAACTGCCGCTTGAAAAAGGTGCTATACTGTGCTGTTTAGAGGTAGTGATTGCACAACGGTGTACAGTATTGTGTTGGATAAGTCAGCGTGCCAAACAAATGTCTGCGATAGTCACCGATAGTCATGCCATGGCCTCAAAATAGTGTGCGTTGTCAATAAATCAAATCCAGCTGGTCCTGCCAAAACATCAGCAAGCAGCGTTTTGGATGTGGCCTTGCACAAATGCGCGAAAGGGATGGTTTCCTGCAAAAGCATCTCATACCAAAGCAGTTTCTTTCGCAGATGGGCAGGTAGTCAAATTATAAATCCAAAATAAGTTGTTTCTGCTCACGACATTCCATCTGCCAAAGGCCTCTCGGAAAAGTCGCGTCAATGGAAAACGCCTTGAGATTCTCGCTTGAAAAGTCTTCTCGCTGTCAGTCCTCTGTTTGGATTGCTGGCACCCAACGAAAAGGAACTGGAAACAAAAAGCTACCCAGGTCAACGCACCCTGAAGTACGACCAGAATGGAAACCTGAAGATGCAAAACCATGTCTTCAGAGACCTCTAGACTTTCAGGTGATTTTGCTACATAGTTATCCTACACATCAACCTGGTGCAACCAGTCCAGACACTCAATTCGAGTTCCTTTCTCCCGTCTCCTCAATGGTCTGAGCAAATGCTGCCGGGCAGAAAAATCGTGCAGTGTAAGTTTGCGCTTCCCAAGCAAATCAGCCAGATCCTCTTTCCAAGCTTGGAATATCTGAAGCTGCAACTGAAACCTTCAGAATGTTCCACCAGCCGCCAGCCAAACAACTGTCCTCATCTTCAGATGCAGTTTCATCCTGCCAAGTCAAGTCCATTTGAATGCAAGCATTATCAAAATATAAAGTCCCTACAATTTACATGCCAAATGTTCCTGCTCGAGAGTGCCAAGAAAGGACAATGCAATTTCACGTGAAACAACACATGTGTTTACTTTCACACGACACTTATATAGATACCAAGATTCTTCGCGCATTTCCCTCCAAATGGACATTGAAAGGGAGTCGTGCACTTCCATTTTGCTTCAGGTCAAAGTCCCTTCAACGTCACGTTGAAGTCTTTGTTTGGGCCTTCAAGTCCCAAACATACCAGCTCTAAGCTTCAAAACTGGAAGGAGGCGTTTTTGATCCAGAGTTGGCCATCGTTGGTTGCAACATTTTGCACGTGTACAAGCTGCTCATACTGGTAGGAGGCATGATGTGAAATGAATCAACAAATGCTACATAAATTATATAAATGAATCAGGGTGGGGAGGATGTCGGGTGGTTCGGGAGCACCGCTTCCTCACCTTTCTTGTACAGAGGTTGTTCCTTTGTCTCTTCATACCAGACGCACTCAAGCACACCCAACTGAGTGCTTCCTGTTTGGCAGTGCATCTACGACTTCTTGACAATTGCTGACACAGCGGCAAAGAGGGCAGCCCATAAGTTCGGCTTTGCAGTGACAGTTCGAAGACACGTACTGCCGTCACCATAGTTGGGAGCTTTTGATTTATATAGTATGGATGCTGCGCTCGTTTCGACTGCTGATATTATGAAGAGAGTAGAACGGGGCCTTTCGATTGTAAAGGCAAGTTGCATTGGAGAATTCGGAACTGGGAGGGGCTTGTTACAGGTTCTGCGTGTTCCAGGAGCGACTATGGTTTTCCAAAAGTAATTCAGAACATAGTTTCCCCATCTTGCCGATCTCTGGCAACCTGACAAGTCAGCCGCACCGCGTCCTCAATGTCAATGTCTGCGGTGAAGCATTTTAGACAAGCGCCTTGGTTTCAGCACAAGGTGCAACGAGTATCCAAGTGGCACTCACTGCTAGTGTATTTCTTAAGTGTACTGACTCCAGAACGTTGTCTAGTGCCTCGAAAAGATCGAAACATGTTCGGTAATTCAAAAGGTCATGAAACTAAGGTTCTCAAATCTTTGGGCTTTCGAAGAATGTCCTCAAGTCCTCAAATATCAGTTCGCCAATGTACCACTGATCATGTCCCCCAGAGCTATCTGCCGCTGACGCAGAAGAAGGAGGGCTGCTGCTGTCTGCGAATCGGACCTCAAATTCAATCACACCTAAGCAAAATCTTCAAGAAAGAATGAAGTAAATCCACATTCGGTGGCAAATTATGCAATGATTGGCAGGTCGGACGATTCTGTGCAATTTTCAACGCCCCTCCAAACCAAAGGAGGATGTTCGGAGCAAGCTGCTGCTTGAGGTAGCCTTGGCTTCGAAAGAGTGAATGCCCATGTCTAAGGAAGAAGCCTTCTGTAAGCGGCTGTTTATTGCTGCATTTTCTAGTCTATACCCCGCCAATGGTGGGGGCACTGGCCCCGAATAGCACGAAAATGCGCCAACACGATGCGCCTCCTTACTACCACTCGCTCCGCACGTTTCAGTGAAACGTGCCGATAGAATGTTGGTCGTGCTGGAGCAAAACATTGCAAAAACATCCTACGCGCAAACATCTAAGGGCTATAGATTCAAAAAAGGAATGCGCCTGGCATGAAGGGTGGTGGAATCTTCCATATGGCGGCCAGTGACATGAAGGCAAAAGCAAACTCGAAAGCGACTGAAGAGTCTGTGACTTTCCACTTATATATATGTATATATAGGTAAGGGCGGGCACATGCAAAGTTAGAGCTTGGGTTGCCTTTGCCACATCACGCAGCCCGGTTCAGATCTACTCTGACAGTCTGACAACCAAGCAGTTGTGGCACATCTCGAGTGTTTGATTCAAACTAGACTGGTGCAAAAGACATAGAGGTGTCTGGACTGGTGGCTGGCGGCACGCTATTCAGCAACAACTGGCCATGACTCACTCCAGTGGATCCCTGCACATGAGGAGTGGCTGTTGAAATTACGTTGCCACATAGACACACGGGAATGTGCTGCAGCCGAGCACCAGAAAGGGAAAGGCACACAAAACGTTTGGGCACAGGTAGACAGAGTTTACAGTTGAAAGAGACGTTTTCTATAGGCTCAACGCACAAGAGTAGGCACTGGCAAAGCTCAACCGTCTGCCAACGCCATTCGAAACATAGATCTGCCCGCAAGCATTGCTGCCCCGGAAACCGCTTTGAATTGGTGATGCCCCCAGCCTTTGCGATGGCACGAATGGTTTTATGATGATTAATGATTAATGGTACTTCGCGGTCATGCCCGGGTTTGGGTTCCAACTACACGTCACAATGTGCGTTGGCCTCAACCTCAACACCCAACCCTCGCAGCATCGCAGGTGTGCAAAGCACCAATTATATAAGATGTTGAGACGCACGCTGTGCGCCATGTTTGACATGTCATGTCATGAGTTTCTTTTTCAAACCAACCATATCCCACCGTAGAGGGTGGGCTCGAGAAGCCTTTGGAAAAGGCCGCGTGTGGCGTTAAGTCGCCTTCCCCGCTTCGACCTCGTCGTTGCTTCGTGTTTTTGCTCGCCGTGGACCTCGTGCGCTACGGCTACTTCTCTACATTGGTAGCGGAGCCACCGGTCTGGTGGCTCCCTGCCTGTGCGCTCCGCGACTACGAGCTCTGTCCTGGTTGAGACCTACGGTGGGTTTGACTGTTCTCGCTCTTGCATGGTGGTTCCTTCCACTTCATCACTACGCCCGTGCAGAGCCCTACGTCCCTGAGAACGTCACCATGGCCTCGAAGAAGGCCCAACCCGCAGGCGCAGGTCAGAGCTCGAAAGATGGCACGTTCATGGACTTGAGGGACAGTTTCGTGCCGCTGTTTTCCGGCCAGCCGGCCGACTACCGGGAGTGGAGGGCTCGCATCCATCTTTACCACAGAAAGATGGCATTGACAAAGCGGTCGACAGAGAGTGTGCTCAACATCGTGGGTTCCTTCACCGGTGTCACTTGGCGTTTGTTTCAGGATTGGGGGCATGAAGAACTAGAGAAAGGAGATGCCTTTGAGAAGGTCATTGCCACCCTGGATGCAAACTTCGCCTATGACACCAAAGTTCAGTTGCCCACTGATTTCGAGTCATACTTCAATTTGCTGCAACGCACCCCCGGTTAAACACTGCTGTTGTTTGTTGCCGATCATGAAGAAGCCTATAGAAAGTTGCAGCAACACCGCATTGAGCTTCCTCCCTCCGTTCAAGGATGGCATTTACTCCGCCGTTCTGGCCTCACTCGTGAACAACGACAGCTCATCACCCTTCGTGCGCCCAACCTGGAGAAGACTGAGGTGATTGAGGCGATGTATTTGATCTTGGGCCAGGACTACAAAGGTGGAGGATGGAATTCAGAGCGGAACCGACGGTTCGGAGGCCACTCCCCTTCCTGGAAGCACCGCGCCTATGCTGCTGAAGACTACGAGGAAGACCCGCACCAGGAGGATGAAGCATGGGAGTATGGCTACTATGAAGAAGATGAGTCTTGGGCCGATGATCCGCAGTCTCAGGACTATGACCTCTACGATGATGGCCAGGACTTTGACCACGATGCTGGCTACTACGGTGAGGAGGATCCCTGGCCTGAAACAGAAGAGCAGCAGAACCCTACACAGATGGCTGCCGCCTATGACGCTGCTTTTGCTTCCTACACGGACGCAAGACGACGGTTTCAGGAACTGAAGACAGCTCGTGGATACCTTCCCATTGTGGCGCTCACAGATGGTGGTAGCACTTCACCTACGGCTACATCACCACAGTCGCCTACTTCCTAGAGAACAAAAGGAAAAGGGAAGGGTGGGTCCAAAAGTGGTAAGTCACAAGGAGCTGGCAAATCGGACCTGAAGGGACGAGCGAAGGCCAACATGACCTGTCTTCGCTGTGGCCAGCCAGGCCACTGGGCAGCGAACTGCCCTCAATCGTCGTCAAGTCCTTCGGCACAATCAGCTGGTGTCAAACGACCCGCATCGACCACAGAGGCCATGGCTATGACTCCCCAAGCTGATGAGAGCGCCCTGTTGATCTTCCAAGATGCCACAGGAGCCGAACGTCCCGAGTGTGTCATGTTGGACCCAGGTGCCAGCGCCTTTCTCTCGGGCTATGGACCGTTCAGAAGGTTCCTGGACCATTTGCGCTCCTTGCACTTCCCGATCGACAAGATCAAGATGAGCAAGGGCCGGCGTCGCTTTCAGTTCGGTGGTGACGCATCCTTGTGGTCCGACTGGTCAGCTCATGTTCCCACCTTCGTGGATGGCAAGTACGGCACAATTGAGGTGTTCCTGCTTCCGGGCAACACGCCCATGCTATGTGGGAGGCCGATCATCGAGGCCTTGGGCATGACGATGGACTTTGCTCAACGACGCCTTCGCATCGGAAGCTCGCCCTGGATGTCGGCCACTCTTGGTCGCCAAGGTGAATACCTGTGGTCCCTCACCAATGAGCATGACAATGTCCACTACCACCCGGAGAAGCCGGAGTTTGTGCTCAGGACCAATGACCAGGGTGTTGAACAAAATGATGGCTTCCTGCTCAAGGACTTCATGGCCGAGGAACATGGCTTCACCACCTTCGAGAAGACTGATGAGCCGGCCTCTTCGAAAGCATGAGCTGAAGACCATGGACACACAGTTGGCCACTCAGCTGAATGATCTGTCTGCATATGTCACGAAGGAGCTTCACCGTCCCGAACGTCCTCGCATCCTATGGGAGGTCTATTGTGGCAAGGCACGCACTGCTCAGCTGGCTGAAAGTATGGGCATGGAAACTCGCACCTTCTCCTATGAGACTGGGTGGAACTTCGAGTTGCTGAACCACCAGGACGAGTTCCTGCGCCTTTTGGATGAGGAAGCCCCAGATGAACTATTGATGGCACCAGAGTGCAAACTGTGGAGCCGCATGCAGTCCTTGGGTCGCAGAACTCCAGCACAGCAAGAAGCATTGAGGGCGGCCCGACAACATCATCACGACCGGCACCTGATGTTTGTGCGGCGTGTCTACTTGGCTCAGGTCAAAGGAGGAAGGCATGTTACAGTTGAACAGCCCAAGAACGCCTTGTCCTGGAACACCCGCGCACTCCGAGATCTACCAGGACGCCGTGCAGATTTTTCCCAATGTCGATATGGTGCTCAATGCTTGGACACCGATGGAACATGGAAACCAGTACAGAAGCACACATCGCTGCTCACCACCAAGCGCTCAGTTCAAGACGCCATGTCACTGCAGTGTCAACACGATCACGAGCATTGTCCTTTGGAAGGAGCAGCACCTGGTCTTGGTTCGAGAACTCGCTGTATCAACCTGCATTGGCTGCTACTCTTGCGGCTGCCTTGGCCGTCGATGAGCCTCCTGCCTTCTGGGAGACTGGACATGCTGCCGAAGATGAACGTGAAACCACCAGCTCTCTGGTCAAGCTACGAAGCGAGACCAAGCAGGACGCCATTCGAACAGTCCAGCCATCCATCACCTCAGGCCCTATAGGGGAGCTACTGGAAGCCAGAGGAGCCTCCAAGGCCATTCTACAAGCAGCCAAGTCCTATCGCTGTCTGGCCTGTGCGAAGTACATCCATGCCTACGACAAGCCAGTTCAATGAGGTGCTACAAGCTGATGTCATGTGGCTTCGTCGCGGCACCGTGAAGTATGCCATCATGAGCCTGGTGGACAGTGCAACCCGCTATACAGCAGCCTCACTCATTCAGTCCGAGCACACTGACAACTATGTCAAGGCCCTGGAGCGCACTTGGATTGCACACTACGGTCCTCCTAGCACCTTGCTCACCGATGAGGGTCTTGGTTGGCTCAGTTCACAAATGGATGAATGGACAGCTGCACACCAGATCAAGCATGTTGCGGCGCCTGGCGAAGCTCATGAACGTTTGGCCATCGTGGAGCGGCGACACGCCGTCATTCGCAAGGCAGTTGAAGTCTACCTCACAACGATCTCCAGATGGATGGACCTGCAGCCATCCAAGAGGCCCTGAAGAGCGCTTCATTTGAAGTACAAAGGCATCAACTCAGAGTATGCCCTGGGCCAGCAGGTGTGGTTCTGGAGGGACGCTCGTCAACCCGACTTAGTCAAGATTCGTTGGTTGGGACCTGCTCAGGTCGTGATGAAGGAGCGTCGACCCAACACTGAGGACTCAGAAGGTCCTGTCTCCGTGTACTGGCTCGCCTACAAGACCCAGCTCATTCGCTGCGCACCTCATCATGTTCGAGCCGATGTCCGAAACCTCAACCACTCCATCGAGGACACGAGAGATGCCCTGAACCTAGTGAGGCAGTTGAAGTCAAGAGGAGTCACTCGGTTCTATGACCTTCATCGAGTCAACCGGCAGAACTTGGCCGATGTCGAGGATGACGAACAAGGCGAGGGCACACAGCTTGACACGGAGTCAGAACATGAAATGACTCCTCCCCGCCGCAGACCTCGGCTTACGATGGATCCACCTCCAGCTCCGTCTGAGGCACCGCCAGCTTCACCGCCACCAGATGAACCAGCACCAGCCCAACCCGTGGCACCAACTGCGCTGGAAGAAGGCCCAGCGGCAGAGGCAACCACATCGCTACCTCCGGTCCCAGGCGATGATGATACTCTCCGAACCCAGCCAGGAACCCAGTGAGGAGCCACCAGTGGCACCGTCGATGCCACCCACACCGGTACCTCAACCTCCAGCAACTCAGTCGCAACCCACGTTGGATCCCGCAACGGCAGCACTTTATGAATCACAACCAGCTGAGACCTTCCAACAGCAGCGACTTCGATTCAACAGACAGGAGACTTTGAGCTTTGCACCGTTCCGCCGTCGACATCAACATGGACAACCACCGTATCCCACGGCGGAATCAACGGAAGCCACAGAAGCCCATGTCCCTCCTCTACCAGCACCAGAGCAGCTCGATGGCCAAGCGTTCTTCATTGAGAACCTGGGCGCCAAGTCATTGCCCTCTGGTTGGCGAGTGGACGAACAGGGCTACCTGCAGCTCGAGGAGAAGATTGCTGACTACTGGGAGCTCAAAGCTGGGTGTTTGATCCGTCACCACATGGTCCCTCGCCGAGGCCGCATGCACATCGAGCATTTGCCCAAAGATTGTCCGATCAACCCGGACCAGCTCGACAAAATCAAGATCACCATGGTGCATCAGGCCAATGGCCGGAGTCAGCTCCACACCGATGATGGAACGGTCACCTCACCTCCCGATGGCACTAAGGGGGCATGGACAGGCACCACCATCTTTCAGCTCTCCGGCACTGCCCGACGTGAGATGGCTATGTACACCAGCACTCCCATGGCTCGCACCAGCGCTCGCCAAGTGGCAAAGGAGCAGAAGAAGTCCAATCTCAAGAAGTTCAAGAAAGACAATTTAAAAGTGGAGTTAATGAGAGACTTCTTGGTCCACATGAGCGCGCTCTCTTCAAGGAGGCGAAAGTCAAGGAGCTCAAGTCCTTCTTCGACCATGGAGTCTGGGCTTTTCAGACGACCGCGGAAGCTGATGAAGCCCGTATCACGCATCTTGCTCAAGTGGTCAAAGAATGAAGATGGCACTCCACGGGCGAAGACCCGGACGCGCTGGCAGGGTCAATTCCTACATCCTCTCCAACGACTACCAGGTTGTCAAGATCTATGGTCCTGTCACTTGCAGCAAACCTTCGCTGGCCAACATGGACAGCAGACGTCAGCACTGCCTTCCTCCAAGGTCGTCCACAGACCCGCAAGCTCTGGGTCAAGCTGCCTGCAGAAGCACTTCAGCTGTTGGGCGCTTCAGATGACACGAGGATGCTCTTGTTGAAGCCTTGCTACGGCCAGACGGATGCCCCTCGTGGTTGGTATTTGGAGGCAGTTGATCGGTTGCTGAGGGCAGGTTTGAGACAGCATCCACTGGATCCATGTGCCTTCCTCATCTACGAGAAGGACGATCCTCAGTACTCCGAAGATGATCCGATTCACACGGAGACCAGCACTCTTGGCCCAGAGAAACTTTGCGGCATGGTGATCATGCACGTTGATGACATGTTGGGCGCTGGATGTCCTCGTTCTCCCAGGTACAAAGCAGTCACCGACATGCTGCGCTCCACCTTCTCATTTCGAGAGTGGAAGGAGGACAATGACAAACTGGAGAACTGGAGCGCACTCCTGAGGGCGGCAGACGCCTACATCAGGAAAACTACTTCAGCAAGGTGAAGCCCATCGCCATCTCTAAACACCGTGATCTACAAGAGCCGCTTGATGAGAAGGGAATCACTCAAGTCCGCGGCGTCCTCGGCTCTTTGCAGTGGCCCGCTGCGCAGACCGCCTCACCTTCAGTGCTCGACCTCCATGTTGTCAGGCCAAGTGAACAAGGCCACCACTCAGACCGTCCATGACTGCAATCGGCTTTTGAAGTTCGCCAAGGAACACAAGGATGTCAGTTTATACTACAACTTTATTGGACACCCCAGCGAACTGCAACTCTTGTGCTTCTTTGATGCCGGCTTCACTGCCAGGTCCGACGGCAGCTCGCAAGGTGGCTACATCCTGATGTTTGTCAACCGACAGTTGTTCACTTCTGGCGATGATGGCGAGTACCACGTACTGGATTGGCGAAGCTTCCGCACTCCAAGGGTCACTCGAAGCTCACTGGCTGCAGAGGCCCAGGCTGGAGGACAAGCTGTGGACAGCATTGATTTCGCTTGCAAGTATTGGCACTATCTTCACCATCCCAACCTCAAGTTGAAGGATTTGTTGAAGTCAGCGTCTACCTTGACGCCGACGATGGTGACTGATGCCAAGGCTCTGTACGACTCCTATCACCGTGAAGGAGTCAGTTCATCGGTGATCGACAAACGGGTCAGTCTTGAGATCCGTGCGATGAAAGAGATGATGGAGGAGTTGGGTGGCCAACTTCGGTGGATGAGCTCTGAGCGTCAAGTGGCTGATGGACTCACCAAGGAGTCAGCCCGAGCTCTACTTGCAGCCCGCCTTCGCCATCGCCGCATCAAGTTGACCTGGGACCCCGAGTATGTGGCTTCAAAGAAGAAGACAAAAGGAGAAAAGGCTAAGGCCATAGCAGAAACCACTGCAGCTGCACCTCATGTTCCACCACACCTTGAGGAGAATGAGACCCTTGAGGATGAACAGATTCCTGCCAATGTCAACGTCTCGGAGTACCCGGAGATCTTTTCGAATGAGGACCAGCCAAGGAATGAGGAGACTCCTGACGGTGTCTTTTGTGTCCAGAATGTGGAGCCTCTAAAGTATGTGTTCGCCATGAGCCATGGCGGCTTGCTTCGGGACACCACCTTCAAGTGTCGCATTTCGAAGGTCTTCGTGATGCTGCTGCTGGCCTCAACGCCGACCTTGACTGAGGGTCAACAGTGCGTGGCTGAAGCAGAAGAGAAAGAAAGTGAAGAGGGGCAGCTACGGCTGTGGTTGGCCATCCTGGCCATGTTGCATGTCCTTGCGATGGCCACCGTCTTCATGATCGGCCGTTGGACTGCACCTCGCCTGGTCCAGAAGAAGGAGAATGTGATCGACGCCAAAGAGGCTGAGACTCAGAAAGATGAACCCATCGTGCGTTCAAGACTTCGAGAACTACTCCAACTGGAGCAACAGCGCAGTGCAGAGGCTGCGCGATCAGCCAAAGAGTCCAGGACCGCACTGGACCTCCTGGTCGATGAAGTGGAGACCCTCCGAACCCTGGTTGGCGCGGGACACCAGCTCATCAAGCGGCTGATGTTTGAGATGGAGTGGCACAACTCCATGTGTCCTTTCTCGAACCACCACCTGATAGGACGAACGAGCATGCACAGACCATCCGACCGGAGCTCGATGCCTTTCTGGCCGCAGCATCTCCATGGGCAGTGGAGTGAACATCTCCCCCCGTGTTGAGACGCACGCTGTGCGCCATGTTTGACATGTCATGTCATGAGTTTCTTTTTCAAACCAACCATATCCCACCGTAGAGGGTGGGCTCGAGAAGCCTTTGGAAAAGGCCGCGTGTGGCGTTAAGTCGCCTTCCGCGCTTCGACCTTGTCGTTGCTTCGTGTTTTTGCTCGCCGTGGACCTCGTGCGCTACGGCTACTTCTCTACATAAGAGGATATGTTATAATCAGCTGGCTTTCAAGACACTAAATGTTACTAAACATCAATCTATATCAATCTTCTGAATGCTAGTAAGAAACGTGGCACACGTTCTGACCAGTCAGATTGATAGCGCGATTGTGTCCTTGAGTCCTGCAAAAACACGACGACTGATGGCAAAAGATCCCTTCATGTTGCAAGCTGATCCTCTCGGGCTACTGCTCCAGCCTTGACGATGTCCTCGTGTCGTCCCTCTTCGATCTCTTCCGATTCAGAGTCATCCTCTGCCTGCCACTTGAAGCAAGGCAAGGCCGTGGGAAAATGAGACTGATTCGCCAAGCCTGCTTGCCAGGTGACTGACCAGTGAAATGGGTGTAGGTTTCGTTCGTGTGTGTGTGACCCTTGCAATCACAGGGATCCACTTGGATTGCGCTGCTTGACCTTCTTACTTTTTCCCGAGAGCATCTGCGAAGGGTTCTTCGTAAAAAACATCTGCAGAATACATCTTCACATCTTCACCTCTGCACATTCACATACATCTTCACCTCTGCACATTCACATTCTCACCTATATCTCTGCTCATCTGCACATCTACATCTCTCCTCATCTGCTCATCTGCACATCTACATCTCTCCTCATCTTCACATCCTCACATCTACATCTCTGCTCATGCTCATCTTCACACATCTACATCTCTGCTCATGTTCACATCTGCACATGTACATCTCTGCTCATGTTCACATCTGCACATCTACATCTCTGCTCATCTTCACATCCTCACATCTACATCTCACATCTTCACCTCTCGCTCTTCTTTACTTTCTCTCTTAAGGCCGGGGGCGGTGCCGCCGGAGCACCACGAAACGCAACCCTCTGCGGAGATCGTGCGCGTCGAGGGCGCGAAATGCAGGCGAGAGCGCGATTTGGCCCGGTCCAGCGCAACCCTCTGCGGAGATCGCGCGCGTCGAGGGCGCGAAATGCAGGCGAGCGTGCGTTTTGGCCCGGTACGGCACGACCCTCTGCGGAGATCGCGCGTGTCGAGGGCGCGAGATGCAGGCGAGAGTGCGTTTTGGATTTGGCGCGGGCAACCCTCTGCGGAGATCGCGCGTGTCGAGGGCGCGAAATGCAGGCGAGAGTGCGTTTTGACCCGGTCCGGCGCAACCCTCTGCGGAGATCGTGCGCGTCGAGGGAACGAAATGCAGGCGAGAGTGCGTTTCGGCCCGGTCGGGCGCAACCCTCTGCGGAGATCGCGCGCGTGGAGGGCGCGAAACGCAGGCGAGAGTGCGTTTTGACCCGGTCCGGCGCAACCCTCTGCGGAGATCGCGTGTGTTGAGGGCGCGAAATGGAGGCAAGCGCGTTTTGGCCCGGTCCGGCGCGACCCTCTGAGATCGTTTTGGGCGTTTTTCGGAGCTGGACTCAGAAGTGGCCAGTTTGTAGTACAAATGTAGTATGGAAGAAGAGAGCTTTTCGGAGCTGGACTCAGAAGTGGCCAGTTTGTAGTGCAAATGTAGTGCGGGAAAGAGCTTTTCGGAGCTGGACTCAGAAGTGGCCAGTTTGTAGTACAAATGTAGTACGGGAGAGAGCTTTTCGGAGCTGGACTCAGAAGTGGCCAGTTTGTAGTACAAATGTAGTACGGGAAAGAGCTTTTCGGAGCTGGACTCAGCAGTGGCCAGTTTGTAGTACAAATGTAGTGCGGGTAAGAGCCTTTCGGAGCTGGACTCAGAAGAGGGCAGTTTGTAGTACAAATGTAGTGCGGGAAACAGCGTTGTGGAGCTGGACTCAGAAGTGTTTGCTTCTAGTGTGATATGATTGCTTCTAGTGTGTGGGCAGACCGTGTGGCGAATTACGTTCGTGATGTCGCAGTGCCATGCGGATTTGCGCGGCCTTGGTGGAAAGTGCGTTTGCGTGGCGCCGTGCCACTTGGGAGCGCGAAACATGCTGGCGTAAACGCGGCGTGTCGCTGGTGAGC